CCCAGACGTGAAATGCAGAGGCGTCACTAGGGACCGCGGTCTAGAGTGTGAGAGTACGACCCTGTTACACCACTTGTTCGTTTTCTTATTTCCTTCTTCGTTCATTTCTCTCTTTATCCCATCTCATTTGGTTTCCTATTTTCTATTTCCCATATACATTTGGTTTATCCTGCTATTATAATTATATCACCGACCAGGCTTGGGATGTACTGATGTGCTATCTAGCGTAATCCTGTCGTAATCTCTTAAAGCCAATAGTCTCGCGTGGCTATACGCAGGGTGATTCTATTTTCTAGAAGGGTCTATTACCTTAGGATAAGATAAACCTGGTTACCTGATGTACTCTAGAAGTATAAAAGCGCCTTATACTGATCGATAGTGCAATCTTTCCTCGAGTCATTCGATCCTGTGACATAGAGGAGGATCGGAAAAACCTGCGGCTGTTGGGAGCGCGGCCACAGGTTAACCTGATGAGCTGCGTAGCGAACTGCGAACGGCCACAGAAAATGGGGTGCACCAGCATGGATCATGGAGGTACGAGCCACCTCCATGACTAAACTGATGCATCGCTCAGCGACCTCATTTTGCTGTGGGGAGTCCGGCAGGGTGTACATTTGGGTGATGCCCTCAGCATGACAGAACTGGCCAAGACGATCGGAAGCAAACTCGCCGCTACGGTCGGAGTGAAGACGCAGCAGTAGCTGGGCGCTGTGGACTCGCACAGCTACAAGTCAAAGGATAAGAACGCCAGGCATGCCGGCCTTCTGCTCTAGGGGGAACACCGTGGTGTAGCGCAAGTAGTCGTCTACGGGAACCAGAAAGTAGCGCTCTCGACGCGGCCCAGAGGTTGGGCCACAGACGTCTTAGCGCAGAGTCTAGAGTGGCACAGTGGTCAGCGGAAACAAGGAGTGAGAAGCATGGCATAGCTAGCCCTCGACGCAAGGCGTGCACGGAGGCGCAGGCGAGGGAGGGAGGGCAGGGAGCAATGCAGGGAGACCTAAGATAAGACCGTGGTGGGACATATGACGTAAACGCGGGAGTGCGGGGTGGCCTAGGCGGTGGTGTCACAGAAGAAATGATTGAGTGAGAGACCGACATGAGCAAGCCACAGCAGCCTGGGTAGACGCAGCCACCTGGAGGGACACAGCCACCAGGGGGGGGCGCGGTGTTTAGTGTGAATAGGCCAAACACCGGGTCCCGGGGAAACGTGGTAAAGGGGGCGATAGTGGCGGCCTCAGTAAAGATTGCATACCGCTCGTATCCGGGGAACGTAGTGGTGATGCCGAGGTCCTGAAAACAGCCGACACCAACTAGGCTTCTGGAGAACGAGGGGATGTGCAGGCCTGTAAGGGAGCTTGAGGGAACTGCTGGACACGGAAGTGTGATAGAGCTACGTGCAACTACCGGACTGGAGGACAAGTCAGCAAGGGTGACTGCTGCAAGGGCACAAAGCGGCGTGAGAGTGAAGTGGTCACGAAAGAAGCAGGCAGATGCACCAGAGTCCATCGTGAAGGAGAGCATGGCGGTGCGTCAACCGGCGGGGGCACTAGCGTGGAGCCATGGCTAAACAAGTCAGGGGGTCCTACACCTGATGCAGCACGGGAGCCTAGATTACACACAGCAAACACACCTTGGCTAGGAAACACGGATAATACGGGTGGTCCTGTGCCAGTTTGGGAGGTCCAGCGCGGGCCCAAAACGGAGACGGAATAGTTCGTCGAGGCGGCGGTAGCAGCGCGCGGCAGTATGACCAGGACGGTCACACACGGTGCAGCAACGGGAACTGGTACGGGCAACTAACTGCACTGGAGTCGCCACGTGATGCCGAGGTGCGAGGGCCACCTGCGCGGCCACGACCACCAAAGCCACATGGCCACCGCAGCGGCAGGCCCCCCAACTGCTGCTTCTGCGGCTGAAGCCTCCGCTGCTGCTCCTACTCCTGCTTCTGCCTCGGCTGCTGATGCTGCTCCTGCTGCTGCTCCGGGGCGTCGACCCCCACGCCCTTGTCTCCACTCCCAACACTCTCGCCACCGCCACCTCCTTCTCCACCCCCACCACCCCCAGCACCCTTCCCTCCCTTACACCCCCTTTTGGAGTGTCGGGGGGCTCTACCCTAACGCGACTGTACTGGGGCCGCCGCGGTGGTCTCAACGGCAAGGACTGTCTCAGCGACAGCAGCGGAAATGTCAGAGTAAGTGCATTGGGAAGGAGCACAGCATCGGAAGATAGGGACCGCCGCAGTCTCGCTAGACTGGGCGATAATGCGCTGGCGGGTCTCTATCGCCGACAGGATGGCGACGAAGTCGCTAAGGGTGAGGTCAGTGGGCTGGAAACTAAGGAAGTTGTCGCGGGCAGTGGCTAGGTGGTCGAGGAGGCGCGCGGCTGGAAATATAGCGTAGCTCCAAGGGGGGGAGGCATTAGAGTGAGCTGGGTCTCAGTGCTAGCAGCGCGGTAGAAAGTCTCAAGGGCGTGCAAGTGAGTGGCAAGATCAGCAACAGTGGGGACGGACGCGAGATTAGAGAAGAGCGGGGGCAGGAGAAGACGGCCAACAGAGGAAAAGGAGGGAGTGGAATAGCGAGCAATGACTGCATGTTGGTACTCCTTCGCAGTCTCTACGGCCTGAAAGCGTGACTGATATCAAGCTGCGCAACAGCATCACGCGACTCCCAGACAGAGCGGGCGAGCTCAGCTAGCGTCGACGTGGACGACCAGGGACTGGACATCCGGGCGCTGACCCTTCAGCTGGCGGCGCAGGTCGGCGAGCCATGCCTCAAAGTCGTCAGCCCGACCCTCCGCGTCCAAGAGGAGAACAGCGTCCGCCATCACACACAGCAGCAGCATCTGGAGAGCTCAGGCAGAGGAGTGCGGTGGTGGAGGAGCTCAAGCGGAGGAGCAGGGAGCAAGCGAGTGTGGTGGAGTGCGGTGGAGGGCGTTGGAGGGCGGTGGAGGGCGGTGGGATGCGGTAATGCCGCGAAAGAGGAGAGAGCCAGTAGGAGCACCGGCGCCGAAGGGAATTATGGCCAGCGGCTTGTAGGGGCCGGTGAGAGGAGCTGGAGAGGCGCGGCGAGCTGGGGCGGCGCGGCAAGCTGGGGCCGGCGGCGAGCTAGGGTGGCGTGGCGAGCCAAGGCCAGTGATGGTCTGGGGCTGGTGGCGAGCTGGGGGCGCGCGGCTAGTTGGGGCCGGTGGCGAGCTGGAGCCGCGCGTACTGCTGGGTCAGGCGGCAGGCTGAATGCCGGCTGTGAGCTGGGGGCAGGCGGCGAGCTGGGGCCTGCAGCGAGCGAAGGCCAGCAGCGAGCTGGGGCCGGCGGCGAACTAATGCCAGCGGCGAGCTGGGGGCTGCGCGACGAGCTGGGGGCTGCGCGACGAGCTGGGGCCATCGCAACGAGCTGGGGCAGGCGGCGAGCCGAGGCTAGCGGCGGGCTAAGGCCGGAGGCGAGCTGGGGCCGTCGCGGCAGCTAGGGGCCAGCGTGGCAAGACGGGGCCGACGCGTCGAGGCTGGCCAGCGCGGCAGGCTAGGGACCAGCGCGGCAAACTAGGGCCGGCGCGGCGGGCTAGGGCCAGCGCGGCGAGCAAAGGCCAGCGCGGTGCGGCGGGCAAGGGCAGGCGCGATGGGCTAGGGTAGGGGAGCTCTATGGTAGGCTAGGGCGGGGCGCTCTATGGTAGGCTAGGGCGGAAGCGCGGGTGGGTGGGACCTACCTAGCGTGATACCATCTCAGAGTAGCAAAAGTAAGTACAACAAGGAGATACAGATGACATATAGGGTTGGTGTTGTACCCTCTAAGAATACAAACCTGTCTAGCCTATAACTTCTACATACAAAGTATATGTATAAGTTGACAAGCATGCTATAACTACAAGGTGATTGGCACTCCCCAATCACTTCAGCCATTATCTACAACTCAAAGTCTGTATGTGAAATTCTCTTCATCAATATTTCAATGGGCTGTCATATTGAATGCACTACTCTTTAGCACTCAACAGAATAGATAAATCACACAAGACCTCACAAGAAAGAGTATGCAACATAGTCATTACATCATAGATGCATCCACTTGGCACATAGCTAAACCAATCCAACCTACGAAACCAAACACTCATCGCATGTCTAAAACTTTTGAAGGCAGCGTGGTTCCTAGTATGTGGCCAGATCACTTCATGACAAGCCTCTAATGAAAATCGGCAATCTCCTTTCCAAAGTCAACCCTCAGGTGCAGACCCTGGCCCAGCCAGGTCCTCGAATGATGCGAAACGACGAACGCGCACCATACGATCGAAAGGCACCTGCTTCTTTAGTTTATTTTCACCCGCTCCTGTCCCGACCGATAAGCACGACTTCCTAGGACTTCTCAGTAAATGAGGTCCCCAGGGACTGCCTTCCTCCACGTTCACTCCCAGGGATCTTAGCTCTTGGGCCGTCCCAGCACCAATGCTTGGAGCCCTGCTATGGCCTCTCTTCCCCCCTCCAAGTGCATCCAGGCTGTGCCGTCTGCTATCCCCGCCCTCAGTCCCTTCGAGGTCTGCACTCTGAGATCTCATGAAGCGCCGTGAACTTTGCGAAATTTGCTCGGCCCCCTGCCCGGATTGACCTAGGGGAGTGTGCTTCCCCCCCGCTACAGCTACCAGTGCCTTCCTTGAGCCTGGACTTGGGGGGAGGAAAGGTCGGAGGTGATGAGAATAATCGTTGGAGAGATGATTGCTGACATCAGGCACACCAGAAGCGCTCCTCCGAACCTGTCCCCGAACGTGCTGCCTAACCTGCTGCCGAGCCTGGTTCTGAGCCTGCTGCTGACCTTCCTGCTGACTCAGCTGCTGCCAAGCCTGGTCCATGAGGTGCTGCTTTTGAGAATCCACCTGAGAACTCTCCTGGCGATTCGCCTGAGGATTCACCTGCGGATTCTCATGAGAACCTCTATGTGGAGGCATATGGTTGCACTGTGGGGTCCACTGGACCATCCCCAGGCCATGAGAGGGGTAACACACATGGCAAGGCGGGGAGGGGCGTGCATAGTAAGAGACTCCTTTGGGCAAGGATGGGTTTTTTGGTGAGTTAAGAGCCGGGGTTGAGACTGATTTCTTGAGCGCCTCATATTCGTTAAGCGAGGAATGAGGGGATTCTGAGACAGACTTTCTAAGCGCTCGAGGCGCCCCAGAAAGCGCTGCATTGAAGGGGACAGAGTCACGGGAAAATGGGGAGGGGCGGGCATAGTAGTTGACTCCCCCTTTGGACAAGGATGGGGTTCGAGGCACACTTGTAGTTCGGGGTTGGCTCAAGTCGAGAGAAACAGAGCGGCTGTGGGAATGGTGTGGGGAAAGGGGGGGTTTCTGATAGGAAGAGTGGGTAGGAATGGTGGTGGGTGGGCAGACAGGGGAAGCACGGGGAGAGAATTTGGAAGATGTGGAAGGGGAAAGCGTGGGGGAGCAAGCGGGGGAGCGGGGGGGCTTGGAGGGCAACAGGGGGGGAGATCGGGGGAATGGGCGGAGGGGGAGTGGGTGGAGAGGACGGGGCAGGGGAAGGTGGGGGAATGGTCGAGGGAGGAAGGAGAAACGGGAGGCGGACGGGAGGAGACACTGGAGCTTGGTGTGTCATGGGATGGGGGTACGGCAGCAAATGACTTGGATTGTGTACGGGGAACGGTTTCGTGGGGATTGGTTTTGTGGGGAGAGCTGGGGGGATCATCTTGAGGTTCCTCAAAAATCGTCTCATGAGTAGACGGGAGGGGGAAGAGTTGAGACGACTCAAAACCCGCCGTAATGCGGGGAGAGCGGCGGGAAAGGGAGAATATCTTGGGCACGGGCTTGCGCTGGCGGGAAGGAGAGGCAGAAGGGGAAGAGACTGGGGCACGGGGGGAGGATGGCGGGGCGAGGGTAGTAGGTTCAAGAGAGGCCAAGTGAGGTGCGGTGGGGTGAGGGTAGTGAGGGGAGGAGAGTGGCGGTGAGATTGGTGATGAGGACACTGGAGCATCTTGGTCAGCCACAGTCTTCAATTTCCCTTTTAATGCTGCCGCCACAGCTAGTGGGTCTATCTCCCATGCACGGTCACGCCCTACTCCCCGCTCACTGTACGCATTTTCGCCATCAATCCCTGCAGCATAAGCACCCTCTTGATCAGAGTCAGCGTCAGAAGAGGAGCCGTCGAAAGACACCTGCAGGTGCGCCAGCCGCTTTTGTACCTGTAACGAGAGCTTCTTTATGGGGACGGGGACATGAACAGAAGCACCAGCTGGGGAAGCTGCTGGTCCTCCTCTCCCCCCAAATTTCTCCACCCCACATTCCCCAATCTTTTCCCCCCAACGTTCCCCAATCTTTTCCCCCCCACGTTCCCCAAACTTCTCCCCCCCGCTTCCCCCAATCTTCTCCCCCCCCCTTCCCCTGATCTTCTCCCCCCCCCTTTCCCCAATCTTCTCCCCCTCGCTCCCTCCAATTTTCTCCCCTGCGCTCCCTCTCATCTTCTTCCCACCGCTCCCCCCGATTTTCTCCCCCCAGCTGTCCAGTCTGCGGGTAATTTCCGCCACAAGCTGAGCTTCCGCCGACGGTGCAGAGTGGTGCGCAGATGGTACTAGCTGGTGGGCAGGAACGTGCCTATTTGCAGCTTTTCGCTGTGCTGGCCGTGCCAAAACCGCTGCCACATCCTCGCCGCTACTACCATCCCCATCACCCTTCCAAGGCGACTCCTGAATCGACTCAGAATTCACATGATCATTGACATTTTGATCGGCATTGCCCTTGCTGTTGCCCTTGCTGTTGCCCTTGCTGTTGCTGTTACCATCGCTGGCATCGCAATAACCAGGAGCGGCGTTGAGGGGGAAAGAGGAAGTGGAGGCGGAAGGAGAGGCAGGGGACCGAGGCGGAGTGGGGAGGTGCGGGAGAGAGGAGGAGCGGAGGAGGCTGGCCCCACAAACCGAGGGGTGGTCGCTGCGAGCCTGCGGCATCACTAAGTGCAGGTGCTTGCCTCTCCGGGGAGATGGGGTGGCACTTCGAGGCTCTGAGGGTGGCTCAGGTTGGAGGGTAGTAGAGGTTGCCAGGGGAAGTACCAGGGGCAGAGGGCGTGGCAGGGGCACCCTACCACTGCGTTCCCCTGGCTGTGGCGCTGGCACAGGGTTTCGGGGTTGCTGCAGGGTTTTCATCATACCAACCTGGCTGCTGCTACTGCTGCTGCTGTTTCTGGTGCCAGCAGTAGGGGGGAAGGGACCTGTGCTCCTGCTGCCGCTGCCGCTGCCGCTGCCACTGCCGCTGCTGCTGCCACTGCGCAAAGAATTCCTCTGCACCTCAAGGGGGGGTGCCGTGGCGGAACGGATCAGGCGCCGAGGGCCGGACGGATGGGGTGGGGCGGAAGAAGCGGGGGGGTTTGTGGGGGAAGTAGGGGGGAGAGCTGGGGGGGAAGAAAGGGGGGGCTTTGTGGGGAAAGAATCAGGGGGAGATGGGGCGGAAGAGGACTGGGATCCTTTCTTAGGGGGCGGTGCTTTTGGAGAACGGGGCACTCGAGCTGCTGTGAAGATTCCGGAATCTGACACGTGACTGCTGCTGCTAGCAGCAGCCAGTGCGGCGGCAGTGGGAGCATTTGCAGGTCTAGTTGTGGCAGCACTACTAGTAGGCTTTTGAGTTGTCTCAAAAGCAGCAGTCACCGCAGTGGCAGTGGAAGTAATTGTAGTTGTTGCAGTAGATGTAGTAGGTGCGGAGTCCATAGTAACCATTGATCTTGTGTCTACCGCGTCGACCACTTTCGTTCCTCCTCTTCCTCCTCCTCCTCCTCCTCCTCCTCCTCCTCCTCCTCCTCCTCCTCCTCCTCCTCCTCCTCCTCCTCCTCCTCCTCCTCCTCCTCCTCCTCCTCCTCTTCCGCCTCCTCGGCCTCCTCCTCCTCCACCCCCCCCTCTCTCTCCACCACCTCCTCCTCCCCTTCCCCGTTCTCCTCCTCGCGCTTCTCCAGGCGCAGTAGATCCAGCTCTTAACTCGGACCTGGCAGGCTCGGATCTGACAGGCTCGGACCTGAGAGGCTGGGACCTGGCAGTGGTAACGTTACTCGACTCATCCCCACTTTTTTCGCCAACCTCGTGGGAGCGCCCCTGGGACGTCATCCCCTCAACCCGCGAGCGGCGGAAGCGGAAGAGGTCAGCGGAAGTGCGCGCAGGCGGGCTGCTCGTCGCGGATCCGCCTGGTCCACGGGCGCGTGCTGGCAGAATGGTGGCGCTTGTGGCGGAGCTGCCGTGTTTATCGCATGCGCTGCCGGTTCCTCCCCGACGCAGGAAGCGGAGAAACTTTCCGCCAGCGCTCGACGCGGCGTTGGCGCCCGCCGGCACTACCGTCAGGGAAGCGGTTTCCCTGCCCCGCGGAGTCCCCGCATTTGGCTCTCCTCTGCGCGTAACCTCCCCTTCCACGCGCGTGCCTTCCTCTTCCGCGCATGATCCGCCAGTGCGCACAAAATCGGCGTCCCACTCCGCATCCATGTCGGCGGAGGAGGTGGCCTTCCGCCGAACTACCTCCGCGTGCGGGCTGCGCACGGGGGAGGACGCCGGAGGCGGAATCCATGAGCGTTGCTGCCCGCAGCCATTGTTGGGCTTCGACATATTCGCCGGTCACCGTCACACGTCACAGAAACTACTAGAAAGGACTAGCAAATGATGAGCAAGGATTAGCAAAGGATTAGCAAAGGATTGCTAATCTGTCAGAGTTCTGAGCTTTTCTAGAAACCTCTGTGAATCATTTCCTTCCTGCACTGCCCGTGGAAGCGAGAATGAATGCATGCAGTGTACAGCCTTCTCCAAGCATGAAAATGCCCGGTGTCAGTGACACTGTCATGACAACACGCAGCGAGGGAGCTTGGATGAGCGACTGCACCAGGCGCCGGGGGTGTCATGCAGCTAGGGGCGATGAGCAGATGCTGCTAATACCGCCGCGCCTCATGCTAGCTGACCACCTGCGGTTCATCTGGATCTTCTGTTTAACATCAACGTGAGGTTGATGATCGAGGTCGACGGCACTGAGCCACGCTGCTCCGAGCAGGTGGAGGTAAACGACAGAACGACCACGAGGCACGATAAGATGAGATGGCGACACATACCGGTCAGACGGAGGAAAGAGAAAGCTCGTGAAGAGAAAACAGGTTCGAAACTCGGTACTCAACGATTTTGAATAAGGGGAATGGGGGAGGGGGAGTTTTGGAGAAAGGGGAGGGCGAGGAAGCCTTACAATTTGTTGGAAATTTGTGGGTCCAAGTTCGCGAATTTGGCGTGAGGTGGAGGGAAGTCAACGAGAAATCAACGGTGGGGGTTGGATGCTGGAAGTCCCTTCGCGTCGCATTCATATTTGCGTGGCCAAGTATTGTGATATTTGACGGGTTGAAGGAGGTCAGCGATACAATCGACGGTGGTGACTGGATGATGAAAGTCAAATCGTCTCTCCAAGAACGATCACCGCCGCTGACTAGGTCCACCACCGACCACAGTTCAGTACAGTGCGCCTCGCTCGTTCATTTCTCCTGCCACGGAAAGTCAACGTCTTGTACAGTTCCTTCAACCGTTGCTTGTGGGCAATGGTCAGGGTCGCAGCATGGGCTGCGGCATAATGATGGCGCAATGATGACGCCTCACCGTACTGAAACCCCTTGGAACGTTTCTCACCTAATGGAATCTCCTTGCAGCCTGTGAGCATCATGACCTTGACGTCGCGTCGCGACCCTGGCTTATGATGGTCTCGTATTGTACCTTGCTCGCAGACGTCGTACAGACGATGCCCAACCTTATCGCAGCTCAACCTGGCGCCCAATCAGAATCCGTTCCCAAAACCTCCGATATAGGGGCAATGTGATATCCGTTTGAGTCACTCATGATTGCGTCTACGACCAGCATATAGCAAGGGACAAGTCGTTGACGACGACATTTCGTCGCCACGGAACTGTGCACCTCCGTCGCCTGATCGCTTCACAAGAGTCGCACAATCGCAACAAATATCGCCACACAAGCCCCCCCCACAAATACCCACCCATTTCGCCGTGTGCTCGTGCGAAAGCCTCATTTGCCCGTGGCGAGGGACAGCGAAATACCTGACCGCTTGAATCCCCGGCACCCTAAAATATTGTGTGACTCTGACGAGCTTCGTTTGTAGTTAGCAACGAAACCTCCAAACAAATTTTTTTGTCATCTTTTATGAATTCTAACTCAGGGGATAGCGCAGAAAACTATTATGGGTTAATGACTACAATAGAAACAAAGTGGCCTGCACACTATATTGAGTATGTTGACCAGGCTTCAACCTCGAGGCTGGACCAGACATGGACTCGAGAGTCCGGAGGGCGACGGGGTCAAATTGGGCTCGAGGCGCCTCGGTAACAGGTTCGGGGCCGAATAGCTCGGCGGGGCTGGTTTGACGCGAGATTTCAGGGCCGAGGCTGGTAACACTTACTTTTCGCGTGTACTCGTCGTCGCGAGACCCAGTGAGGAATGTGAATTTCCTTACATCAACACTCCTACTACACTCTTCTGTCATATGGAACACACATAACTTCTTAGAATGCCCTCCCAAAGAGGAAGTCTAGGATATCCAAGACCTACATTAGTTAGTGCAGTTCTGAATCATGGATGAATTTTACACAAATGGCCTCTTCTTTCTCAGGGATTTCACAGCAACGCGCCCACTTGTCTTGGTTCTTGACAAGGGCTTACCGTATGATATCATGGCATCGAGGTTGCTTCAGAATCACTGAGATTACTGACTGTGGAAGTCTGCAGCTTCTTTCTATAATCAACAAGGCACTTATCAAGTCGTAAAATAAAATCATCCACTTCCTCCTTCGAACCTCCTATAGCAGCGGCTGCAGTGAGATAGGGTACATGATAACTGCACACGGACAAAATGAAGCCGGCAGGAATATGTATATATATACATACATACAGATACATGTGTGTGAATGTGCGTGCATGCCCGCATGGGTGCATGCATGCGTGCGTGCATGCGTGGGCGCGTGCGTGCGTGGGCGCGTGGGCGCGTGCCGGCGTGCGCGCGGGCGCACGTGCGTGCGTGCGTGCGTGCATGTGTGTTTGCGTGCGTACGCATTCAGCAGGGAGATCTGTATGGCTTATGGTGAAGAGCTATGAACTGAGTAACAGCTTCACGAGGTGTACCTGTCATAAGAAGCTCCAAATCCTTGCAGTGACACTCCTCCAATAGTTTGCTTCACACCCTGAGGCACGACTCGACAACCAGAGACAAAGCTGCCATGAAAGAGAGGGGGACAGAGATGGTACTGGTGAGAAAACAGTATGGCATTGGTGGATGGGGAGGAAAGAAATAGCTTGTGGGAACAAGACCCAGACGTCAAAACGGACACGGAAAACCAAGTCATAATCCGGTGGGATGGAATATGGGCCGGGTCAGAGGATAGGATCCGTCGGAAGGTGAATCGCGCGCAGGGGGGGGGATCAAGAGATGGGGGCCTGGGAAACGATAATGGGGTTGGGAGTGAGAGGATAGCACATTGTGGCATGGGAAAGAGATGGGGGGGGGGGGGCATGGAGCAGCATACCGTGAGAAGAGCATTGAGCCCAGGAAGGTGATGGGGGGCGGTTGAGATGGGGGCGCAGGGGGAGGGATGGAGGCAGCAGTGGGGGCGAGGATAGGGGGAGCAGTGGGGGCGAGGATAGGGGGAGCAGTGGGGGCGAGGATAGGGGGAGCAGTGGGGCGAGGATAGGGGGAGCAGTGGGGGCGAGGATAGGGGGAGCAGTGGGGGCGAGGATAGGGGGAGCAGTGGGGGCGAGGATAGGGGGAGCAGTGGGGGCGAGGATAGGGGGAGCAGTGGGGGCGAGGATAGGGGGAGCAGTGGGGGCGAGGATAGGGGGAGCAGTGGGGGCGAGGATAGGGGGAGCAGTGGGGGCGAGGATAGGGGGAGCAGTGGGGGCGAGGATAGGGGGAGCGATGGGGCCTGCAGGTGGATGGGGCGGGGGAGATAAGGGGAGAAGCACGACAGGAGGGGCGGCATGAGGGGCGGCACGAGTGGCGGCAGGAGGGGTGGCAGAAGTTGTGGCAGAAGTTGTGGCAGAAGTTGTGAGTGGCTCAGCGGCTCCAGCTGAAGTTGTCAGCAGCATCTCTGATGCGGCAGCACCTCTCATCTCATCTGCCCCTCTCAGCCCCTCTCCCCCCGCTGCTGATGGTACTGCTGCTGACTCTTCTCCTCCTGCTGCCGCTGCTGCTGCTGCTGATGATGATGACGATGATGCTGCTGTTGGCTGTGCTACTGCTTCTCTTTTTGCTGCTGCCACGGCAGATGGCTCTGCAGCATGTTGGAGCATGGAGTTCGAAGAACCGCGAGTGACATCAGCATGCATGTGTGTGGCGTCAGCAGAATTGCATGTGGAGCCGGCGGGACCACATGCGACCCCAGCAGGCAGATGTGCAGGGGTGAGCGAGGAGAGTGACATCGCCAGGGAGATCGGGTTGCGTGGCGACTGCAGCACATGCTCGCCTGAGCAGGTGACACGAGGGGGAGGTGAAACGTGGGGGAGGGTAGATATGGGTGTGGTTAATGCACACCTGCAGGGATGACCGAGGAGAGGGATCTCGCCAGGGGGGTGACGTATGGAGGGGATAGAGGGAGGTGAGAGATGGAGGGGATAGAGGGAGGTGATAGACGGAAGAACATAGTAGAAAAGAGGAGGAATTGCAATGCATGTGGGGGGAATGCCAGGCGGTTCCAAAGGGGGATTGATTTGCTGCACAAGCCTCCCAGCACGGAGTTGCATTGTGTCCAGGGTTTGGGGTTTAGGGTTAATGGTTCACGGTTTAGGGTTCAAGGTTTAGGGTTTCGGGTTTAGGTAAGAGGGGCGCTCACCGTGTTTCTCAGCCACCACTCGCATTCTGTCTCTCAGGTAAGGAAAGAGGTCCTCTCTCTCCTGCAGCAGCGCCTGCCACCCGTTGGCGCCCAGCGAGAGCAGCGTTATGAGGACATCCAGGATGGGCGAGATGGACGCACGCCCTGCCGTGGGGTGGTGTGCGGTGCGGCGAGGTGGGTGGGTGCACAGGGTATAAGGGTGTGGTAGATCAGGGAAAAGAAGGTTAATCGGTCGCCACCCGTTGGCGCCCAGGGAGAGCAGCGTGAGGGGAATGGCATATGAAACTACCACTGCTCCTCAGGTCGGGAGGGGAATGGCATATGAAACTACCACTGCTCCTCAGGTCGGGAGGGGAATGGCATATGAAACTACCACTGCTCCTCAGGTCGTGAGGGGAATGGCATATGAAACTACCACTGCTCCTCAGGTCGTGAGGGGAATGGCATATGAAACTACCACTGCTCCTCAGGTCGGGAGGGGAATGGCATATGAAACTACCACTGCTCCTCAGGTCGTGAGGGGAATGGCATATGAAACTACCACTGCTCCTCAGGTCGTGAGGGGAATGGCATATGAAACTACCACTGCTCCTCAGGTCGTGAGGGGAATGGCATATGAAACTACCACTGCTCCTCAGGTCGTGAGGGGAATGGCATATGAAACTACCACTGCTCCTCAGGTCGTGAGGGGAATGGCATATGAAACTACCACTGCTCCTCAGGTCGTGAGGGGAATGGCATATGAAACTACCACTGCTCCTCAGGTCGTGAGGGGAATGGCATATGAAACTACCACTGCTCCTCAGGTCGTGAGGGGAATGGCATATGAAACTACCACTGCTCCTCAGGTCGTGAGGGGAATGGCATATGAAACTACCACTGCTCCTCAGGTCGGGAGGGGAATGGCATATGAAACTACCACTGCTCCTCAGGTCGGGAGGGGAATGGCATATGAAACTACCACTGCTCCTCAGGTCGTGAGGGGAATGGCATATGAAACTACCACTGCTCCTCAGGTCGGGAGGGGAATGGCATATGAAACTACCACTGCTCCTCAGGTCGTGAGGGGACCTTCTGGTGTCACGACCTGTGGCATGTTTCCCTCAAGGGGCCCACCTGGGTACGAGGCGTTGACTGCGTTGACCAGCGTTGAATCCTCCTTTAGGCCCTGAAACTACCACTGCTCCCCCCACGGGCACCAGAAAGTTCTTATCCGTGCCCTGAACCACCTGCTTGATTATCCGTCCCCTGAGTTCCACAAGCACACATACACACCCACCTGGGTACGAGGCGTTGACTGCATTGACCAGCGTTGACTTGTTAGGCCCAGCAGCGATTACAGCCCCCCCAACCGGTACCAGAAAGTTCTTATCTGTGCTCTGGACCACCGCATCCACTCGCCCCCTCCTCCACGCCCGGCTGACCTCAGCGCAGATGTCAGCGCTCTGCACCCCGTACGCGTTGTTTATTATATGGGGGATTTCGAGGCGGGCGCAGAGACGGGCTATGGCCTCGACATTATCAGGGGCTCTGGGAGGGAGGGAGGGAGGGAGGGAGGGAGGGAGGGAGACAGGTTGGTGCAGGGCAGTAAGGGCCCTTAGAAGCAATCGTCATCCGAGGGGATACAGGAGCGCAGCAGAGACGCCTCTCTGCTCTGTTATCCGGGGCCGTAGACTTGATTTAGGTAGAGTGCGGGATTGATCCGGGGCCAGAAGAAATTGGCTGATGGACAGGCGGAGTGGGTGGGACCCACCTGGGAGCGCAGTAGGAGGTGGTGGAAAGGACGCAGAGAACGCCTTTTGAGTTGACCGAAGAGTCAGACCCACCTGGGAGGGGCCCACATGGGAGGAACCCACCTGGGAGCGAAGCAGGAGGTGGTGGAGAGGACGCAGAGAATGCTGTCCGCCCCTCGAGACTCAATTTCTCGCTCCAAGGTCGGGAGGTTGGTACAGAGCTGGTCACCGTTCAACTCGAGAGGAACTACCTGGGAGGGAGGGGGGAGGAAGGGGCGAAAGGTGGGGGGGGGAGAGAGTGGGGAGGGGGAGAGGGGAGGGCCACGTGTGGCGGGTGGTGGAATTTGTGTGACTAAACTGAACAGACAACGATTGTGACAGAAGCAGGAGGTAACACGAGGACGAGGCAACGAAGGCATGAGCAGCAGAGTAACCTCGATTTCCAGGAGTTTTCGAAAGTACCCTACCACGGGTATGAGTCCAGCTGTGAGGATGCATTTGAGGCATGTCTTCTGGTCGATGCGAGACCACAGCACGTACCTGCCATGGGTCGCACACATACCACGTGTATGACACATCCAAAGCATTAGGAAGCCTTCCCATGGCATATACCTGCCATGGGTCACATACCATGTCCACGTCACATGTGGCGCATTTTGAGGTGCCTCAAAACTATGTGGCGCATCTAAGAAGCGTGCATGGAGAACAGTTTTGTTTTGAGGCGCCTCAAAAGTCACAGCGTGCACGGAGAACGCACCAGCCATGGGATGCAAAGAAGCACCCAAGCATGCAGAATGAATCATCCACAGCCTCGCTCGCTCTCCCCCTCTCTTCCCTCCCTCCCGCACTCCCTCACTCCCACGTTCCCTCACCCCCTCACTTCGCAGAGGGTCGGCTGGTCTTGAGAGCAAGGAGAGAAAGCGTGAGGGCCATGCCTGTAGCCACGGGCAGCACCGTCACTGCTGATATGTCTGATGGGTGAACCGTGGACGTGCATGCATGCATGCGCAATGCATGTCGTGTCAAATGGGAACATGGCACGAGAAAGATAAGGTGAGGTGAAAAGCACGAGGGCGGGCGAGTGAATTTTGAGTCGACTCAAAAGTCACCTGCAATGCATGCCATGCCGTGTCAAATGGGAACATGGCACGAGGGCAGGCGAGTGAGAGCGCGAGCCATGCCGGTTGCAACTGGCAGCACCGTCAACACAGATATGTCTGATGGGTGAACGTGCATTCATGCATTAAATGCGCAGTAGCGTTGAGATGCAACAGAATGCATCATACATGGCATTCAGAAGAACATGCGGTATTGTTGCATGGGAGGTGGCATTCCATCGGCATGATACTATACGACCCGCATGACGAGGATGTAGCAAGAAACAAATGGTGGAGTGCAGATGACCATTGATCACTAATCACTTCCACCAGCATGTTACCATCACCATGAAAAACAAGTACCTTTCAGACATGTGAGCGAGGCGGCATCCTTGACCACCAGATTGACGATGGAGGGTTGTGCTAGTAGTTATCCTTGCACGCTCGGCTTGCAGAAAGTTACCATCACCACCAGCACGGTTACCTTTGAGCGAGGAGGGAGCGCTTACCTGAGAGTGAGGGAGCGTCCTTGGCCACCGGATCGGTGATGGAAGGGCTGTGCTGACAGTTTTCCTTGCATCCTAAATTTGCACGTTACCGCCACCAACAGTACCAGCAGCAGCAGCAGCAGCAGCAGCAGCAGCAGCAGCAGCAGCAGCAGCAGCAGCACAGTTACCTGTGAGCCCTGCAAGTGAGAGGGCGTCCTTCACCAGCAGATTGGCGAGGCGACATGCCAGGGTTGACCCTGCAGCCTGGGGGGTGGCGGTGGGCAGGGATGTTGAGATGGGCATAGGGCACAGCACGCATAGCACGGGCGTGAATTGGTGCTTAAGTCCTGCGAGTGAGAGGGCGTCCTGGACCAGCAGATTGGCGAGGCGACATGCCAGGGTTGACCCTGCAGCCTGGGGGCCGGAGGAAGGCAGGTAGGACATGTGGGGGGGGCAAAGCAGTGCTGATCGGGAACAGCCGGGGAGGGGTAATGCTGACTGATGTGACCGGCACGGCAGGGCATGGGGAACACGTGCGATCATTGTGCACCATGCACGCACCTTTGGCTGCTCGTCGGTGATGTTCCCTGACCGCCCCATGCCATGGGTCATGCCGTAGTGCCGCCTCCTCACCAGCCCACTCGCACACCGAGCCTCCCTCTCCCCCATGCCCACCCCGCCCTTGAACCCGCTGCTGTCCATCAAAGCTAGGTCCTGCGAGGGAGGGAGACGGAGCGGTGAACGATGGATAGGGGGAGAGGGGAAGACGGACCTGCCTTGCCTGTACCATGCCACCCACTTAATACAAGGACATATTGAGTGGGAGTGGGAGGAGGAGTGACACATGGACAGAGGGAGAGGAGAAGATGGCATCGATGAGCCTCTTTCTCCCCCATGCCATGCCATGCCCACCTCAAAGGAAGCTCACCTTGAGCAGCAGTTCGATGGTGTCGTCGTCCCAACCGTCCCTTGGGAGCTTCCTCTGAGATAAGAGGCTCTTCACCTGGCAGCGCATGCGACAGCAGCATCAAGAGGCGGTGCGGAGGTATTAGGGGCTCCACATAAGTCCAATGCATGCACGCACACTCAGCGGGCAGCACGACGGATCCAATAGAGATCATTTTTGAGGCGCCTCAAAAATACTTATCCTCTTTTTTAGCACTCCTCACGCACGGATCCAATAGAGATCAGGCAAGTGACTCCTCGCCTAAGAGGCACTCGCCTAAGAGACACTCGCCTAAGAGGCACTCGCCTAAGAGACACTCGCCTAAGAGACACTCGCCTAAGAGGCACTCGCCTAAGAGACACTCGCCTAAGAGGCACTCGCCTAAGAGGCACTCGCCTAAGAGGCACTCGCCTAAGAGACACTCGCCTAAGAGGCACTCGCCTAAGAGGCACTCGCCTAAGAGACACTCGCCTAAGTGACTGTGTGGAAAACGCCTGCCGGAACAATTTTATCTGGCAGACTAATAGCCTTGTTCCTGCAGTCCGATACGTCCACGTGGATCCACTGACGAGCATTGACTATGTGCCACGTGGCAGTCGCACCATGTTGTGTCGCTGCGCGAGAGACTGACCGCCCTGTCGCACGTACGACGGCGACACAAGCCCCTCCGCGAGCTTCAGATTCGCCGCGTCCATGCCGTCGCCGGGCGACGTCGCACACGCAGTACAGTCGCACAGCGATCGTCGCACGCGGAGCACGCGAAGGATACCGCCAGCGCTATCGCGATCGCAAGCCCTCCCAAGAGGAGCGGTGCCTGCCTGCCTGACTAGCGGCGGATAGGCTACGCTCGGAAATTCGTTTCGAGACGTCGCAAAACTCACTAGTGTGCTTCGGAGACTCTCTCTTGCGTCTCATCAATCAGCGGTTTCATCTTCAGGTTTCGCAAACCCTAAAATCTCAGACTCGCTCCTGCTGCAACCGGCGAATCCCACCAGGCGGCCTTACTACAGTATGCGACACGGGCGCACCAGCGAATCCGGTAATCAAACAGTTGCTTACCGATCGGTACCATTGCCTTGCGACGTACTGAAAGGTGGCGAAGCTGGTCAGCGGTTTTGTGAATCAGCCACCTGAATAGGTACCAGCGTCATCAGTCACCTGAATAGGTACCAGCGTCATCAGTTACCATTAGAAGACTAGTCTTTGTGAATGTGGTCGGTACGAGTCCCTTTAGACCCGTCTCCTCTCCTCCGGACTTCACATGAGCTCCCGCATTCATTAGCCTCTCAACGTCTTCATACCACCACTTCTAGACGACGATTCCTTAGTTCGATTCCACGTCTAGACCGTCAGACCGCCTCGGTCTGATGGTCCCTTGAACCTCCATAGGCCTCCCTTGACCCATCGGACCGCATCGGACCGCATCGGACCGTCTCCGGACGACCCAGAAGCCGTTTCGGTACATCTAGAACCATTTTTTACTCTATATCTCCAGAGTTGAGCGCGGCCGGCAGTAGCAACGCCGTCACACGCGCCGTCAAACGCGCCGTCACACGCGGCGGCGGCAGCGGCGGCCATGGAGGAGGGCGACGCGGCCGTGGCGGTGCGCGTGCTGAAGGAGCGGCTGACGTGGCAGCCGAGCGCCGTGGAAAGCGGGGAGCGCGACACCAGTACTCGCGCCATGGAAGGGGGCGACACGGGGCGGTTGACGGAAATAGAGGGCGACGCTAATAGGCGCGTGAGCCGTGTGATACAAACGGGCGAGGGCCGTGTGAGCCATGTGATACAAACGGTGGAGCTTGTAGCGGAGAACGAGGGCAACCGCTCCAGGCTGTATGGGATGCTGCGAGACGTGGTGTGCGACGGGCTGTGCCTGTCGCTGCTGCTGCTCGGGCCCAGAGGCTGCGGGAAGACTCTGGTATGTGGGTGGCTTGACCTAAGATGCGAGGCAGTGTGCGGTTTAGACCATAGTGGAGAGGATGGTCAGGGACGTGCTGTGCGACGGGCTGCTGCTGCTGGGACCTAGAGGGTGCGGGAAGACGCTGGTATGTGGGTGATGGCATGGCATGGTGCTTGAATGATGTTGAAAGCGTGAGCACTTGTGCTGGTTTGCTGCTGCTGTCATGACACCCCACCCGCCCCACCCCGCCCCATCCCTCCCCACCCCTCACCACTCCCTCTCCTCACGCGTCTTGGGCTGGGCTCCCCATCAGGTGCTGCACCGCGTGCTGGCCGACCTCCGCTCTTCCCATGACACCCCCCCGTTTCTTGCTGTGAGTGATCTGCTGCCATGCGCTGGCATGCGCTGGCATGCGCTGGCATGTGCTGGCATGTGCTGGCATGTGCTGGCATGTGCTGGCATGTGCTGGCATGTGTTGGCATGTGCTGGCATGTGCATGCATGTGCATGCATGTGCATGCATGTGCTGGCATGTGCTGGCATGTTCTGGCATGTGCTGGCATGTGCATGCATGTGCTGGCATTTGCTGCCTTATGGTTTCGTTACATGTGCCTCGAGTGTCTGACCTATAACACTTGTAGTCTCCAGCTAACGATGCCACGCCATGACACATGTCCGCCATTCTTCTCCACCCATCGTGCAGCCTCCATCTTGGTACCCCATCCGATGCCACGATCCATCAGGGTTTTTGGGATGGTTGCATGCGATGTGGAACATGTTCCGTGGAACAGGTTGCATGGGATGGAAATCACAAAGCAACATACTTACTAGTTTTGAGGCGCCTCAAAACTAGTTTTCATCTTGTTCTATCCATCCCATGCCATCGTCCCATGCCATCGTCCCATGCCATCATCCCATGCCATCATCCCATGCCATCAGGTGCATCTGGATGGTCGCATGCATGCTGACGACCGTGCCGCTCTCAAGGTGCGTCGATCGACATGTCATGTCATGTCACCCCTCGCTGCTTTTGAGTCGACTCAAAAGTCAGCTCTTTTGAGGAGCAGGGCAGAGCAGGGGAGGGGAATGCCCTCCTTTCATAATCGCCCACTGCATTCTTCCCTGGGCCCGCTCACCTGCCCTTGTGTAATGAGTCCATTTTTTAGTCGGCTCAAAAGTCAGCTCTTTTGAGGAGCAGAGCAGAGCAGAGCAGAGCAGGGCAGAGCAGGGCAGAGGGGGGGAGGGGAATGCCTTCCCTTCATAATCGCCCACTGCATTCTCCCCTGGGCCCCCTCGCCTGCTCCTTCCAGGCAATGGCGCTTTCGCTGCCTCAACTCGATGCGCTCTCCCTGGTGGTGTGCCCTCTTTCCTCCTGATCCACTCCCTCGACTGCTGCCCACTGCATTCTCCCCTGGGCCCCCTCACCTGCACTTTCCAGGAAATGGCGCGCCAGCTGGCGCTTTCTCTGCCACAGCTCGATGCGCTCTCCCTGGTAATGTTCCAATTTTCATGCGCCTAGAAAACCGTTCTTTCTCTGGCAATTGACTTTTGGCACAAAGATTAACCGTTCTTTCTGGTACTTCTCCGTATTCTCTCCTTCCCACTCCCAAACCCCCCCACTCACAACCCTCCTTCCTGCCTCCTTATCTCGTCGTCTTTCACCCCATCTCCTCTTACTCCTTTCTCCCATTCTCTCCTCTTTGTTCGCTACCTCGTCTCCGCCAATCACATGGCAGCATTCCTTTTCAGACAACGTCAGGGTGCTTCACCACGTGCTCAGGTGCCGGTTGCTGTATTCAGGTGTTACTTCATGCTCAGGTGTTACTTCATGCTCAGGTGTTTCTTCATGCTCAGGTGTTACTTCATGCTCAGGTGTTACTTCATGCTCAGGTGTTACTTCATGCTCAGGTGTTTCTTCATGCTCAGGTGTTTCTTCATGCTCAGGTGTTTCTTCATGCTCAGGTGTTTCTTCATGCTCAGGTGTTTCTTCATGCTCAGGTGTTTTTTATGTTCTGAGGTGCTTCTATGTGTTGTTCCTGTGTGGTGTTCAGGTGCGTTCTCATGTTTTCTGGTGCTAGGTGCGCTTCCACCCCCTATCTCCTCCGTTGCGATCCCTACCCTTCTGCCATACAGCGCTATATGGCTGACCCCTCATCGCTTCACTTCACCTTCATATCTCCCCCCCCCCACTCTCCTGTAATCTCGTGCACTTTAACATTCCAGGCTGTGTGGTCAAGCCAGCAGAGCCCTCGTCTCCTCACCCTCATCTTCCTCACCCTCACATGCTCAAGCCAGCAGAGCCCTCATCTTCCTCACCCTCACATGCTCTCCTTCCTTTCCTTACATTCTTCACCCCCACGTCCTCTCCAGGCTGTGTGCTCAAGCCAGCAGAGCCCTCATCTTCCTCACCCTCCCATTCTCTCCTTTCCTTACATCCTTCAACGCAACGTCCTCTCCAGGCTGTGTGCTCAGGCCAGCAGATCACTCATTGTGGTCCTAGACGAATTCGACCAGTTCGCTTCAGTGAGACTTCCGATGAACCCTTTTTAATTCACTGTGAACCTTTTTGAATTCCTTGTGAACCTTTTTGAATTCATTGTGAACCTTTTTTAAATTCATTGTGAACCTTTTTTAATTCATTGTGAACCTTTTTGAATACATTGTGGACCTTTTTGAATTCATTGTGGACCTTTTTGAATTCATTGTGAACCTTTTTTTAATCATTGTGAACCTTTTTTGAATTCATTGTGAACCTTTTTGAATTCATTGTGAACCTTTTTGAATTCCTTGTGAACCTTTTTGAATTCATTGTGAACCTTATTGAATTCATTGTGAACCTTTTTTAATTCCTTGTGAACCTTTTTGAATTCCTTGTGAACCTTTTTGAATTCATTGTGAACCTTTTTTTAATTCATTGTGAACCTTCTTTAATTCATTGTGAACCTTTTTCAATTCATTGTGAACCTTTTTCAATTCATTGTGAACCTTTTTGAATTCATTGTGAACCTTTTTGAATTCATTGCGAACCTTCTGATTCATTGTGATCCTTTTTGAATTCATTGTGAACCTTTTTTATTTCATTGTGAACCTTTTTCTCCGTGTCTCTGACCTCCAATTCTCCAGTTCTATCCTTATCTATCTTTTTATTTTCATTTTTTCTCTCAATCTTTTGCCCTTTCTCTCAAACTCCCGCAACCTTCCTCTCCCTTTCCTGTCTCACCTGCCGCAGAGGGGCAAGCAGGGCATACTGTACCTGCTCTTGGATGTCATGCAGTCTCCCTATCACTCCCGTTTCCCTTCCTCCCCATTTCTCCCAATACCCCCCTCCGCTCCTCCCTCCCCCACCTGCCGCAGAGGGGCAAGCAGGGCATACTTTATCTGCTCTTAAACCTCCTGCACTCACCCTATTACTCCCGCATCCCTTTCTCCCCTTCCTCTCCCATTTCTCCCAATGTCCTCTCCCTCCTCCCTCTCCCCACCTGCCGCAGAGGGGCAAGCAGGGCATACTCTACCTGCTCTTGGATGTCATGCACTCACCAGACACGCACTTGGCAGTCATTGGGGTCTCCGCCTCCCAGGTACTGCTGCACAGCGATGCTTTTGGCTAGTTTCCAAGGCACCCTTTCAAAATCAATTCCAGATTCACTCATTGATATACCTAACCAAAGGCACCCTTTGGCGGTTTTCCAAGGCACCCTCGACCTGTTGTTATCCCTTCCACACTTCCCACTCTTTTATTTTGCAGGGTGTTTTTGAGAATTCTCAAAAACACCCCGCAAAATCCCTTCCACACTTCCCACTCTGCCCTTCGCCCTCCCCCTTCGTGCGCTCACGTGTCCACATGTGACCAGATACTGGAGAAGCACTCACGTGCGGTCCACGTGCGGTCCACGTGCGCTCACGTGCGGTCCACGTGTGGTCACGCTCACGCGGACCGGCTACTGGTGCTATCCCTGCTGCTGCCTTCTGCCCCTCCCCGCCCGTCGCCCTCCCCCTTCCCTCCAGGATGCAGACCAGCTTCTCGAGAAGCGCGTGCGCTCACGCTTCTCCAATCGCAAGATCGTCTTCCTGCCGCCGCAACCTGAAGACCTGATAAGGTAACCAGCTTCTCCAGTCGCACGATTGTTTTCCTGCCAGATTACTTGCGGTCGCAACCGCAAATCGGTATTAAGCAACCGCCAGACCTGGTCAGGTAGCGAATGCCTGGCTTAATGCTGTTTTGATTTTTGAGTCGACTCAAAAATCGACTCATTACACACGGATTAAGCAACCGCCTGACCTGGTCAGGTAACGAATGCCTGGCTTAATGCTGTTTTGATTTTTGAGTCGACTCAAAAATCGACTCATTACACACGGATTAAGCAACCGCCTGACCTGGTCAGGTAACGAATGCCTGGCTTAATGCCGTTTTGATTTTTGAGTCGACTCAAAAATCGACTCATTACACACGGATTAAGCAACTGCCAGACCTGGTCAGGGAACGGATGCCTGGCTTAATGCTGTTCTGAGGTGACTGGATGTTTTGAGGTTTTGAGGTCAGGTGGCAAATGACTGAAATAGTAGCTTCTGAATGCACTGCAACTGGTATCATCTCAACTCTCAAAACAAGAGTTACTGGTTACTACAGTGACTACCACCATTTACTCCTTTTGTTTCATCTCTCCACTCCCCTTACCTTCATTTCAATTCATCCACTTGCAGGTTACTCCTCTCAACCCTCACTCTCCCACTTGAAAGGCCTCCCTCTCTGCCCGCTGCAAATGGTCTGTCAGGTGAGATGTTCCATTTTACAAAATACCGCCAACCCTCCAAGGTTCATTCGGGTGCTCCCCTTGTGGGCTCATTCGGTTCCCTTGTGGAAACACTCCACTTGTTGCGGTCCCCATTGAATGATCTCTCTACCCCGCTTGCAAATGCCTCATTGGATGGAGGAAAGAAACTTCGTTGCTGTGCACCAACTGGTCCCTCTACCCCTGCCTGCAGATCCCTCCTCCTGGCCTGCATCTACCAGTACCTTCAACAAGCAAGTCAAGACACTCTTCCAGAATCCCGCAGTCTAGTTTTGAGGCACCTCAAAGCTATACGGTTTCTGCTGTTGTCAATGAGCGCCTTTTTTGCTGATCTCTGTTCCACTGCCTGCAGAGGCCCCCTCATGGCCTGCATTTGCCAGTGCGTTCAACAAGCAGGCCCACACACTCTTCCAGAATCCCACAGTCCTGGCTGTTCTGCTGCAGTCAACCGCTGTCAACCGCACTGTACCGCACCTCTTCAAGCTCGGGTAAATCAAGGCCTGCAAACCATGCGTCCTTTCTGTTCGACTCATCAGGTCACATCACATGATGTTTTGCAGTGCCCGCTGTGGTCAGGAATCCCCCTTCCTCCTTTTTTTCCTGCCCGCAGGTTCCGGGCAGTATGTGAGATGGTGAGGCGGGGAGGCCAGACTCTCTCTGTGCCTGATTTTGAGAGGGCCTATGCTGCCACCACGCAGCCCATCCGCCAGCAGATGCTCTCAGGTGATCCCAACAAATATATCCTCTCAGGTGATTTCAACAGATATGTGCTCTTAGGTGATTCTCCCAAATCTGTGCTGCTACAGCCACTACAACCGCTGTCAGTGCTGCTACAACCGCTGCCACTCACCGTCGGGATGTGGTCTGTTCACACCTCTCTGCAATTTCTGCCCCAACCCTGTCACCCCAGCAGCGCTACCTTCATTGCTCTTGTGTTGTCCGCTCACCCCCCCTCTCCCTCCCCCTCCTCCTCCCCCCCCCCCGGTCCCTCCTCCTCTTCCCCATCTCTTCACAGCGTTGCCAGTCTTAGAGCTCGACCTCCTGGTGGCGTTCCACCGCACTGAAGCACGCGCTGCTGTGGCTGCTGCTGTTGCTCCTGCTGCAGCCGCTGCAACAGGGAAGGGAGCAGGGAAAGGGGCCAAAACTCTTGACGTCTCAATTGGCAATTACGCCTTTCCCCTGCCCCCAACAACCCCACCCCCTCTCCAAACACACTCACAGCCCTGTCAGTGTTAGAGCTCTACCTGTTGGTGGCGTTGCATCGCACTGAAGCACGCGCTGCTGCTACAGCTGCATCAGGGCGCAGAGCAGGGGGAGGTGGCGGAGGCAGCAGTGCACCTGTTGGTGCTTCTGCTGCTGCTACTGCTGCTGCTGGTGCTGGTGGTGCTGGTGGTGCTGGTGGTGCACTGGAAGGGACTGCTAGTGGATCGCACCCAATCAACTTTCACACAGCCTTCATGGGTTCGTGGTTTCTTGTTCCTTACCTTTTTGGGTGCCTCAGGGAATACTGCATGTGCCATGCATTCATGTGCCATGCTTTCTACACGTTTTTTCTCGGCCGGTTTTCACTATCCTCTTTATCTCATTATCTTGCTCGTATTATCCCAGTTACTGTTACATGGCTATTGCCTCTCCCTTTTCTTCCACCGGTCCCTTGCTTATTTCCTAAATCCTGCCGCCCGTATCTCCTTTGGCCAGAGTATGAATCGCGCAGAGTGGCGGCCAAGGGCTCCGTCTCAGATGTCTTCTCTCAAGAGTCTGCGATGCAGGTATTGTGAACATGACAATGTTTACGTTTACGCCACCGTGCATGCTGCATACTCATGAGTGCCTTCTAGTAGGGGATATATGTATATGTATATATATATATATATATATATTATGTTCCTTCTTTTGCAAACTCTCCTCCTTTTCCTCCCTGTCCAACAGGCTTACGGGCGGCTAATAGATGCCAACTTTGTAGCGGTTGCATCTGGACAGCTCTCAACCAGCGTGGAAGAGCTTGAATTCTCGCCTGCCCGTTTATTGGTAACAGCGCGCGAACTAGAAGAGGCTACAAGCAAGAATCCTCGTGTTCCTGTAAGTCAGTCATATCGCTTTTTGCATGCAACTCCATCTATTGATTTTCTGTATTCGCGGCATCTTATCAGCAATTTTCCATGTTATGTTTCGCAGCTCGAGTTGAGAAACTGGTTACAACAAGGTTTACATGAAGGAGCTCCATTGATGTAGTGGAGAAGGCATTTGTGTGAATAATAAAGGGCACATGTCCCTCCTGCTGGATTTCGACTATTATCAAGTCGTGCTGTAACGGATTCTGAAGGTGTGTTGCTCCGAACCGCATTCCAAATTCTGGCACAGAAACGTCAAAGCCGACTCCAGCAATTCCCGCCAAACCACTCTCGAAGCCTTCCCTTCCCACATTTCATCAATTGTCACCCCAGCACAGATTCGCAACCGCGTCAGTCAATCTTGGCCGTCAATATATCATCATCGACGGTCTTCAACTCTATGAACACCCCAAGTCCAGTGTCGGCCAAAATAGCTTCCGCCGTCAGAACCGCCGTCCATGTCTAATTTTGGCCAGCAAGGAAGGGCGACCCATCAGTCTGTTCGGACCTGAACGCTTGTCTTCCGTGCCTTGCTTCGCGGCCTCGAGATCATCCAGACGTCAAGCCCGAGGGAAGGAAGAATCGAGGCCCATAAGCCTGTCTCCTCCTCCTGCCTCCTGTCTCCAGACACCTGTCTCCTGCCTGCTGGCATTCTTCGGCTTAGCTTTGATGTTCCTTGTGTTAGGTTCTCCGGCTGTTTGGAAACTAGTTGCAGGCTCGAGTTGTCCTCCTTGCACCAGCCCATGGGATTGTCGTAGGATCTGTGCATTCGATCGTCGCGTTTTATAAAGCCGCCATTTCATCCGTCAGCTTCTCGCTGTCAAGCGACGCCGTTTACCAGCACAAGCTCGCCGTTTACTCGCCGTTTTATCCAGTTCTAATAGTCTAGTCCCACCATCACCCATCCGGCTCACGCATTTTCAACGTGTTGTTCTACGACGTCCACTCGTAGTCAGCAGCCATGAACCGTTCACTCGTGTTTCTCGCGTTGACGATAGCATCTCTGAGCTTCACGTCTCGATCGCTCGCTGCGGACCTGACATGGAGAGAATCGCTGAAAGGCTTCGGCTCTTTCTTGAAGGCCCTGGAGTCTTCAGGTACAGACTGCCTCCAAGTAGCAGTGTCCTTTTCCTCTGTTTTCAAGTAGCGGTATGCTTTGATATCCCTACGAAGGAAATGTAAAATGTAGTCAAGGTTGTCTCGTGACGCCTCCGTATTCGTCAGTACGGATGGCTCTCTGCTCCGACACCCCGCGTACCATCCCTCCTGTTATCGTTCTGTGTCTCGGCCTTTCTGGCACTGGATCCTCCTGCGACTAGCGATTCCCCTACTGGCGTTAGAGATTCTCGCATCTGTGCCGTGTGTTGATTATGTAAATCCACCTCTTCTGACTCCTCGTCACCCCTTCCAATTTCAGGAGCGGCGAAGCTGATCGACTCATATGTCACCTCTCCCTTCGGCGCACGCACGGGGGTCACTTTCCTCTCGCCGACCGACGATGCGTTCGCGGCGATGCCGGCGCAAGACGCGGAGATGCTGCGCACGATGCCGTGGGCCATGGCGAGCCAGCTGCTCTTCCACGTCATCAAGAAGCGGCTGACACACGCCGAGCTGCGATTGGCTGTTCCTGAAACAAAGGTGTGCTTTTGAAACGATGGCGTGTCCTTGTGATGAAGGTACGCTGCTGAAGCAAATGTCTGCTGGACATCCCCCAATCTGTCAAGGTTTCCTTCTTTGCCCCACTCACTCCCCGCTTCGCGTCTCTCCAACATCGCGCTCGCTAACGTCTAGCTCCCGTCCTCCAATTCTTCCGTCCTTGCGTCACTATCCCTCAGTCCCCGTTTAACTATCTCCGATTTGTTTCCCTTCCCCCGTCCGTTCCACTCACCCCCCCCCCCCAGTACGCCACTCTCTCCAACTTGAACGTCCAGAACGCCCTCGTTTAGGTCTACGCGCCCAGCCTCGAACTCGTCGAGATCCCGCTCCGTGCCTTACTCGCTCCGTGCCTTACTCGCTCCCTGCCTTACTCGCTCCGTGCCTTACTCGCTCTCCGGATCCAACTTTCCCGTGCCTTCCGTTCTACCCTCCCTCCCAACACCCCTTCCCCCCCCCTCCCCCTCTGCAGTTCGCCACTCTCTCCAACATCGCTCTGGTCAAGGTGTACGCGCCCATCCTCGAATTTGGACCGGCAGGGTCGCCGTACGGGCCGCAGGTACGGCTCGCTTCCTCTTCTCTTCCCTCCTGCTCCTAACCAGAACGGTTCGCCCCTCCAACTTTGAAGTAATTTAGCTTTGAGTCGACTCAAAACGAATTTGGACCGGCAGAGTCGCCGTACGGGCCGCAGGTACGGCTCGCTTCCGACACCTCAATTCTAATGCGCCTGGCTGGATTGATCCAAATCGATGTGAAATGCTTTTTTGCAGTTCTGTCGCTCTCTATGCCTCAGTCCGAATGCGCCTGGCTGAGTTGATCCAGATCACTTCCGGCTTCCATCACAGTCCCCTCGACGCTCCCATCGCTATTCACTGATTCTTTCTGATTCCCTTTGAATGTCATTTATTTACGCGTATGTGGGTGACAGCATCGCCGTGCATGGCATCACGGACGTCATGGACCTAGGCCTCTACTCGCGCTTCATCTCGTGCAAGGGGTCTCACCTCTTTGGTCTCCTTCTCCTTCCTTCCGTTCAGGTGTCGCGCGCCAACGCGTACATGGGCGACATCATAGCAGCGCACGGCATCACGGATGTCATGGAACCGGGCCTCTACTCGTGCCCCCTTGTGCCAGTGGCCTCATGTCTCTGCTCTCATCTGGTTGGCTCTTTTCTTCTCCTTCCATGCAGGTGTCGCGCGCCAACGCGTACGTGGGCGACAGCATCGCAGTGCACGGCATCACGGATGTGATGGACCCGGGCCTCTACTCGCGCCAGCTCATCCGCCCTCTCGCGCAAGTAAGTTCCCTTCCAGGGTTTTGAGGCATCTGCGTCTTACTAGAGTTGCAGATGGGGTGGAGGCTTGGGTCATCGGCTCTCTCGTCGCTGTCTCCTCCATACCATCCCCATTGCCGATCTATTCTCCCACTCCCGAAAGTCCCACCAGCCTGAACTCCTGAAATCCTCCCTCTCGTTCTCCATGTTTTCGGCAGGCTCCATGCCTTCGTACTTGCTCCAAGAGCTCTTCCTTTCTTCTCTTCCAAGCGTCAATCTTATTCCCATGATCCGCCCTTCCATCGCTGCCCATGAATGTGGAGCCGGCACGGCAGGCACACTCTAGTGCCCTAAATCCAAATGTCTGTAAATGTGGCCTCTGCCCCGGCCCGTGCTCACTGCCTTTAGGCTTCTGAGTGTTCGATCACCATCCATGGGTGCGCGCGAGTGTGGGCGAGTAGCGTGACATGTGACTTGTGGGCGGGTGACATGTCTGTCCTTGCTGCCTTCCTTAACGGACTATGTGCATTTTCCGCCCCATCCATCCGTGCAGGTAAAAGCGGTCTCTGCAGACCCTGCTCTGGCTAAGGCGCGCGCTCACAGTGGGCAAGTGGCATGTGCGTCCATGCTGGCCGCCCTGCATAAGAAGAGGCTCTCGCGATTCACCGGCGTGCTTCAGCAAGCGGGTGAGTGGGGGAGGAAGAAGCAGGCAACACTGAACCCACGTTAGAGCAGACGCGGGCAAGTAGCACGTGCGTCTGTGCTGGCCGCCTTGCATAAGTGATTCACCGGCGTGCTTCAGCAAGCAGGTGAGTGGGGGAAGAAGTGGGCAACACTGAACCCGCGTTAGAGCAGGTGCGCGCTCACAGTGGGCAAGTAGCACGTGCGTCCGTTCTGGCCGCCTTGCATAAGTAATTCACCAGCGTGCTTCAGCAAGCGGGTGAGTGGGGAAGAAGACATAGCTGAAGCTGCTGCTGAACCTATTCGGATATACACGCTCTTTGAGCTATAAGCCTCAGTGGCTGGGGAGCAGCTGTTTCAGTGTGCTTCTGATGGCCTCTGTTGTCTCCGCTGCCTCTGTTGGCTCCTCTCCGTCAGCAGTACCCCTTTGTAGCTGGAAAAAACAATTCAGTGTGGTTCTTTGTTGTCGCTGTGCATCCCTGTTGGTTGCAGAGCTCCAGGAGTATCTGTGTCGCAAGCTAGAGTCTCAGGAGCTCACGCTGATGGTGCCGTCCAACGATGCGTGGGATAACCTGCCGCCTGCTGTTGCTGATGCCATAGCTAAGAACCCGCAACACATTATCCAGGTAAGGCTGACATCTGCTCTTGGATTTATGCTCTTATGCATTCACTATATGCATAAAATCTCATGCGAAGTAAGGAGTTTTTATAATTGCAAGTAAAGCTTCCCAATTCAACAATAACAGTCTCTAGGTTCTGCGGCCTTGTGTCTTTGGCTGTAGATCTGCTCCCTTTGTTCCGTGTTGCAGGTGCTACTGTTCCATATCATTGAGACGCCAGTGACTTTTTTAGGTGCCTAAAAATAATACTTCCTTGTGGTGGCTTTGGCTGTCGACCTGCTCCCCTTGTTCCTTGTTGCAGGTGCTACTGTTCCATATTGTTGAGACGAGAGTTTCTGCAGATGACTTCCGCAGCTCGTCCCCTGGTGATCAGGTACTTACCGATTTGTTGCACTTCGGCTATTGTTTGTGTGCGTGCACTAATGTGCAAAGCCAGGTTCGTCCCTTTCCTAACAACACCAATATCCCCCCCCCCCCCTTCTGAACCCCCCCCCCCCCAATCCTCCTCAACCCCCTTCCCGCTTCCAAACTCCAGTTCCCAACAGCTATAAGCCACCCTCTTGTTCGTCTCGTTGCTCCCGGAGTGCAATTTGGTAGTGAAGGTTCAACCGAGGGAGCCCGCCTAGTAGCAGTGGACGTTTTTACGAACGAGTTTGTGGTGGTGCATGTAGTGGATGAGGTGATGATGCCACCAAGGAAGAAGGCCAATAGCTAATCAGGGCTATTTGTGCTTAATGATAATAAGGTGGTTTCCTTTTTTTCCCAATCAAGTCTTATGTAAGACACAATAGGGGGAGGCCAACTTTGTGCTGGCTCCAATTATAAGCTGTTCAATGTATCTTATGCACAGAGATTCCGCACCATTGTGACGGGATATGGGTGCTCACCTTGTTTTGCCAGCAGGATATGTTGTTACTTGCCAACAAGATCCCCTATTTTTATGTTCCAATGTTTTCCAACTCATGCTGCACTCCAATGGTAGAGAACGTGTAGTGTATATCGAACAGCCGAGCAGAATACCATAGCCTGCCGAAATCGCGTCGCCTACCAACGAGAAGTTCAACGGACAACGTAGAATCGCTGAACTTGGGAGCAGCATCTTTTTGCCCGCTCAGTCCTTTCTGCTCCCTGTCAAGTTGGGCTGAGTTTTCAAGTGGGCAGGGGAGGGGAAAAAGGGTTCCGTCAATTAGCGATAGAACTGACTCCTCAGATTCTGGAAGGCCGTTTTTGGAGTAATCCGACGGCCATAGCGGTTTCCGAAACGGCCCGCGATTGTGCAAATGGTCAGGATGTGGCCATCCAGCGGGACAATCCCGAGGCTGGTCCTGCGAATCTCATCATCATCATCATTCTCCGTGAAATTGATTCCCGCTTTCGAAGCCTCGCGATGTAATCCGAACCGTCCAGAACGCCATCTTCCGCAATCTCAACCGTCCCATGTCCGATTCCATGGCGGCTGTCAGGTGGACTCCTGGCACACAACCAACCAGCAGCAGAACTCAAACCAGCTCAAGACCAGCTCACCTTTTCCTGCCTCTGCCTTGGTTATGGATTGGATCATGGGAGCCTGAAAGCAAACCTCTCCAATCCCCCAACTACTGATTACTGCAAGCCACAGATGCAATCGTCTGACTTATTTGAAGCAGGATTCACCGCTGTTGTCCGTCCATAGACTTTCTAGATTCGCCGTCACGCTGCTTTCTCAGGTCGTTTCCATCAGTAGTCGTTCTACACGTTCTTTCTGTGCTCAAGCTGAGGTTGTCGTCGGATTCGAAGTGTTTTCAGCAAGAGATAAGTTAGGACTCAGGAATTGCGAGAGTCTCGTCGTTCTATAGCTGTATCTCACGGAGTACTTCTGTAACAGAGTGGTCCTATGCTGAAGTAAAGCCTGACTGGAATAATAAGCTGACCAACGAAACTCAGTCAGGCGTTCCTCGCCTCCGAAGGTCCATGTGAATGGGTGTCATGGCTGCCTCGTCTTCGTCTTCGAGCTCCAAGCCTCCTCTCTCCCCATCCTCCTCGGCCTTAGATCTCAGTCGCCTGTCGTACGCGTTATCGAGTCCAGACACTCTCGGTCAGTCGCTCGAATTCAAGCAAGACCTCCCGTCGCCGTTGCCGGTTCAGGCCGTCAGTTCGGCTCCGGCAACCGGAGGGGGGTTGTCCGTGAAGCAGTCGCTCTGTCAGGCGGTTCTGCGGATCGTTTTGGAGAATGTTCAGAGGGACGGACATAGCAGGGAGATTCAGGAGTCGGTGTCTAAGCACTTCGCATCGCTGCCGTCAAGGTAATTTACATTCTGAAGCTGGAAGCTGGAAGGTTGTACACCAAGCAATCTGTGGTTCCTCCTCCTGTTGTCCGACCTCCTCGCTTTCGCCTTCTATCCTTACCGCAGCTCTTGTTCGGCTTGATTGTTCCGGAGATTGGAGTTAAGGAGTACCAGAGTTTAGAAATCTCCTTGAGTTTTGAGGTCGTTTCGGGTTGGAAAGTCTCCAAGTTCATCTGGGTTTTGCGGGAACTGCAAAAAAATCGTCAGAATTCCATCAATTCGCTAATTGGGTTCTGCTGTTTCTGACTTGCTGGATTTCACACCATCATACTTGGAGAGCCTCCATCTACCCCTCGTTACCCGAACCTCTCACTGTCATGCTATCTGTCAGAGCGTCACAGGCTGCAGTTGCACCTGTCTGCAACGGACTTGTTTCTCAGAATATCACTCTTTTCGCGCTGAAAGCGCCATGATCGTCAACCCCCAGCGCCAAGGGGACGTGCTCCACATGCATCGAGGCTCGCACGCTCAATTCTTGAGTCAATTCAACTATCGTTTGTTCCCCCACCTGACAGGTACGCCCTGAGCGTCAACCCCCAGCGCCATGAGGACGTGCTTCTGCACATGCACCTCATCAACGAGGCTCGGACCCTCAACCAAACCGACCCGGACCAAGGCCCGGTTGTCCGGGTCCGCCGGGTCTGCCTCGGCCGAGCCAAGTCATCAGCTCTGGCAAGCGGGGGGAACGCGGCGGACGTTCTGAGTTCCCCCAGGAGGAGGCACAGCACGGACCTCGGGAGCAACAGCCCGGCCGGAAGAAGCCTGGAGGGTTCCCAGAAGGGAGCGGTTTCCGCTGCTGTAACAGCGGCTAGCGGGGGTGCTGCTGCTCTCTCTTCTGGTTCTGGAGCATCAGGGTTAGCATCAGGCTTGCCAGCATCAGGAGCATCAGCAGCATCAGGGGCGTTTGGAGCATCAGGAGCGTTTCCAGGAGCATCAGGACCGTCGGGGTCCGGGTCACAGCCACAGCTCCACGGGGCCCCTCCCGCCCCTCGCAGGAGCATCCCCTGTCCCGGAACCCTGTCTAGAAGCATCCCCCAGCCCACGTTCGGCTCCTCCGCACCCAACTGCTTCAGCCTAAGCGGCCTAGGCTCCTCTGCAGCCGACTTGAACCAAGCCCCTCCCTCCTCCGGCCGCAAATCCGGGTCGCTTACTGGGCGGTCGCCCCTAGGCTCTAGCAGCATCGGCAATACCAAGGGCAGCAGCAGCCAATTCTCCCTAGCTGCGACGCTAAGAGAAGGCGTGCCGTTTTCATCAGCGTCGGATCTGCGAGGCGACGCAATGGGAGGGCTGGGGAGCGCGGGAGGGGTGGGCAGCGCGGGAGGGTTCCTGGTGGGATCGAGGGGGTCGGCGTCGAGTCTGGGCACGGATGTGGACGAGGATGATAGCCGCAGTGGCGGTTCGAGCTGGCACGGGCCGGGTGGGGTGGAAGGGGCGGAGGGCGATGGGTATGTGTATGGGTGGGAGGTGTCGATCGCAGCGCCGGATAGACCGGGACTGCTCACGTGGTTCACGTCCGCGCTGGCGAATTCCGACTTAGAGCTCAATATCAATGTGAGTGGGAGGGGCGGAGGGCGATGGGTATGTGTACGGGTGGGAGGTGTCGATCGCAGCGCCGGATAGACCGGGACTGCTCACGTGGTTCACTTCTGCGCGGGCGAATTTGGACCTAGAGCTCAACATCAATTTGAGTGGGTGGGGTGGGGTGGAAGGGGCGGAGGGCGATGGGTATGTGTACGGGTGGGAGGTGTCGATCGCAGTGCCGTATAGACCGGCGTTGCTGGCGTGGTTTACCTGTGCGCGGGCGAATTCGGGCCTAGAGCTCAACATCAATGTGAGGGGGGGGTGCGGGGGGGTGTCGTGGGCTTGTTGGTTTTCTTTCCCGTCTGTTTGCCCCTCTGTGCCCGTCCGACAGCGCTTTAGAATCATACTCTCCGTTTGTCCCACTCTTGCTTTCTCCCCACTCCAATCTCCCCATCGCCCTCGGATTGCAACTTCCTCGCCTCACCTTACCCTGCCTCCCTTGTCGCGCCACCCTCCTGTCTTCCCCTTTGCCCTGTCACCAGGAGGCTCATGTGTTCAGCACGTCGGATGGCATGGCGCTACAAGACTTCGTGGTCACCTCGCCAAAGCACCACCACAGCTTCTACGCCAATGTATGCCCTGGGGCAGAGCCGGGCTATGGCAATTCTCCCCCGTGCCTTTTGTATTGAGGAGGCGCTTAAAACCCCCTGGCTGTTTCACACAAGTCCCCCGCCCACGTCGCCGTCCCATGCATTCCCGACTGACCACCGCTTTTTGCATGCCCTGCTCCCTGCGTCGTTGACGCCCTTCCCTTCTCTGCCCCTTTTTCGCCTCGCCCCCTCCGCATCATAGCTGCAGGACTCATAGCTGCTGGGTCGTATTCATGTGTGCTTTGTGATGTTCAATCCCCTGCCCTCCCTGCCCTCCCTACCTTGCCTGCCTTGCCCTGCCCTGCCCTTCTGACCTGTCTTGCTTTGGCAGGAGGCGGAGCTGCAGGACGCGCTGTCACACGTGCTGCGGAACAAGTGGAGAGAACGAGACGTCAAGCAGGCGTCGGAGCAAATGCAGGTGAGGGGGGGGGGGAGTGGGCTAACGTACGAGGACTGGTTCCGTCAGTTGAGGCGCACCTAGGTGTAGGCTTTGTTAGAGTTGTTAGAGCGGGGCGAAGGTGCACAGGGAATTGCTTTGGATTCACTGTGAGTGTAGCTCAGATGTGAATTGCTGTGCCGATATTTGTGGCACCGTAGGAAACGAGGCACGGTTAAGGGGCTGAAAATGCAATATCTCCCGCTGCTCTTACATCCGTGCATCAGTGTCTGTGTGCCTATCCCACGTGCCTAACTTACTTTGCGTCTGTCCCTCCCAAACGCTCTTCATTTGGTTTCAGCTGGCGAATCTAAAAGCAATAGTGGAGGCCATGGCATATGAGGACTGGGCAGTGGACTACCATGATGTGAGTCATGCATATGCAATGTCATCATGCATCCTACAGGCATGCAACTCTGGTATCCTGCCTGTGGTTATATTCCCCTGTGTTGATCCATCCCACCATCCCCCAGTCCCTTTCCATTCCTTAGCCGTCCCCCTTGCTTGCCATCCCTCCCGGATCCCCACACCCCGTCCACCCCTTCCGAATCCTCCTCCCGCCCCTGCAGCGGCGCATAGGAGAGAGGCTGGGCGGAGGGGCGTCGGAAGGCTGTGCAGAGGCACGTACAGAAGGCAGGACGTGGCAGTCAAGGTCATGACACTCACTGCACCGGAGGGTGTATCGTCCCTGCTCATTAATCCCTCCATGCCTCACCCCTCTCTACCCCTCCCCACCCCTGCAGCTGTGTATAGGCGAGAGGCTGGGCGGGGGAGCATCAGGGAGGCTGTGCAGAGGCACGTACAGAGGGCAGGACGTGGCAGTCAAGGTCATGACGCTCGCTGCACCAGAGGATATGGCTGGCGCTGGGGGAGGGGGAAGGGGAGGGCCGGCAGGAGTGGGGGATGCGGGGATGTCGGTGTCTATGAGAAGCGCCACTGCGCTGGAGCTGCTGCAGTGCTTTAAACAAGAGGTCGCTATAATGAGGTGCGTTGCAGTGAGTTTCAGAGCAGGCCGTGCAGTGTGTAATATAGCCAGTGGGAGTGGGGGATGTGAGGATCTCGCTGTCGATGAGGAGCGCCATTGTGCTGGAGCTGCTGCAATGCATCAAGCAGGAAGTCACTATAACGAGGTGTATGGAATATTATCTGCACTAGTTTCGTAGCTGACCCCTCATGAGGGGGTTGATATTTCGTGATTGACCGGCTCAGGAGGGGATTGCGAAATCCGTAACTGACTGGCACTAGTATTCTTTGCGGAATGCTCTCGGCGGCAACTCCAGGTGCACTCTTCTGGCCGCTGTGAGCCCCCGGACTCACAAGGCTCACAATTCATAAGTGTGAGCCCTGTGGCGCAAGGGTCACAGCGGCCAGAAGAGTGCACTTGGAATTGCCGCCGAGAGCGTTCTGCTAAGAAAATTAGTGCGCTCGCAACTTGGCATGATGGAATCATCCTGGTTATGCTCCCAGTGCCTTTCAAGGAGGAGATGATCGTATTTGATGCGCCAGATGCTGCGAATTAATCCCGCGTCTTGTACCCCAACCTCTAGGGAAACACGAGACGCGTGCTTTAACTGCCGCTTCTGTTTGTTCTCTTCTGGAAATATGCTCTTGTTAGCCCAACAAATATGCTCGCGTGTCCTCCCACTGGTTTTGTGGTGCGTTTGAGCTCAGTATGTATTTCACTGGCTTTTATTTGACTCAAACTCCCTCTGTTCTCCTGTCCCCTCTGACAGGATGGTGCGGCACAAGAACCTAGTGCAGTTCATTGGAGCGTGCTCCCACTGGCCGCGACTCTTCATCGTCACCGAGCTCATGGCACGGGGAAGGTGAGATGAAAAATCATGCAGGTGAGGTTAGGCTCGAGCTGAGGGCGGGTGAGGTCCTGAGTCTTTTCATTTTACACCAGTTCATTGGGCCGTGCTCCCGCTGGCTTCGGCTGTTCAGTGTCACAGAGCTCATGGCTCGAGGCAAGTGAGATTTTGTTCAGTTTCAAATCGCCCTGTTCTCATTGGTCCCGATGAATTATAGCACAGAACTCGTGGCACGAGCCAGGTGAGGCAGTGGCTTAATGGCAAGAAGGGCACGGTAGTGGTGTGTGATCGACGAGACTGTGCCTTGCAGGCAAGTTGCAGGCTCCATATGGCGTGTTGTAATACGGCGGCGCAATCCGTTTCCCCGCTTCCCCATGCTTGGCTATTGCACTGTGCGGGATAGAGGTGACTTTTGAGTCGACTCAAAAGTTTCCCGATGCTTGGCTATCGCACTGTGTGGGACATGCGGAACTAGTGAGAACACGTCACTTATCCCATCCCCACCACCTTTCCCCCTAACACCCCCTCACCCCTTGCGTCTCCTACTGCAGTGTGCGGGATGTGTTGGACCAGAGGGGGTGCGGGCTGCCACTGCCAGTGGCACTGAAGATCCTCAGGGACGCGGCACGGGGGCTGGACTTCCTGCACCGAAGGGGCATTGTGCACCGCGACTTGAAGGCTGCTAACCTGCTGGTGGACGAGAACGATGTGAGTGCCTTCAATCTAATGGTCGGTGGTGAAATGGCTTTTCGGCAATGTAGCATTGTTGGCGTCAAAGCAGGCACGGAGGGCCATCAGCCAAGTCTTGGCGGAAGTGCCCTCAACTCGCCCCCCTCTCGTTCATCGATCCTTCCCCCTCCTGGCTTCTCAACCCTTCATTGGCCTTCAGGTGGTGAAGCTGTATGATTTCGGAGTGGCAAGATTATTGCAGTCGAACCAGGGAGGGGGCGGATGTGTGGGGAGTCAGCTGCCAAGTCACAACCCAGGCTCACATAAACTCTCACTCTTCTCCCTCTTTTCGACCCTTTCCCTTCCTCGTACCAACCTCAACCTCAGGTGGTGAAGCTGTGTGACTTCGGGGTGGCAAGATTATTGCCATCGAAGCAGGCGGGGCAGCTGTGTGGGGAGCCAACTGCCAAGTCACGACCCGACATGACAGCAGAGACAGGCACCTACCGTTGGATGGCACCTGAGGTAACACCTGATGGCACCAGAGGTAGCACCTAGCACCTGGTAGCACCGGAGATAACACCGGGATGGAATTGAGGTGACACCTGGATGGATGGCACCTGAGGTGACATTTGGTGGGACCTGAGGTAACACTTGGTGGCACCTGAGGTAACACTTGGTGGCACCTGAGGTAACACCAGTTGGTTCCTTGAGGTATTCCCCTTGCTCCTTTCTCCTATCTCCCCCCGTCTTGCCTGCTGTTCCCTTGGCCCTTCTCGCCCCCATTGGTCACCTTAGGCTCTGCCTCCAAACTCTCTTTTGCAACTGGCTCTGCAATCAACTGTTATGTTATATTTTTCCTCTCCCTCTCCTCCCCTCAACCAGGTGATGGAGCACCAGCCATACGACCATCGAGCCGATATCTTCTCATTCGGTGTCACCATGTGGTGGGTTTCATGTGCCGCAATCCATTCTAAGAGTTACATGTTAAGGGTTTCATGTCAGGGGTTTCATGTCATGGGTTTCATGTCACGGGTTTCATGTCATGGGTTTCATGTCACGGGTTTCATGTCATGGGTTTCATGGCACGGGTTTCATGTCATGGGTTTCATGTCACGGGTTTCATGTCATGGGTTTCCGGTGATGGGATCCATGTGATGGGCCAAGTGGAGGTCACTTTGCGACTGCCAGGCTGTCACTACTTCATACTGCTGTTCTATGTCTCACACTCTGATGCCCACCCTCCCCCCCCCACACCCACCTCCTTCTCCCATCTCTTCCCATTCCCTCTTGTCTCTCCAGGGAGGTCATCACAGGCGACCTGCCCTATACCGGCCTCACTTTGAGGCGCCTCATAAGCCGTCTCCCTGACTTTTCTCCCATCACTTCTCCCAACTCTTGTTCTTTTGTCTCTTGTCTCTCCAGGGAGGTGATCACAGGCGACCTTCCCTATACCGGCCTCACTCCTCTTCAAGCAGCCATAGGAGTTTTGCAAAGGTACATGACAAAAAAGGAGCAAACCCCCCCCGGCCTCCCCTCCCTGACTTGGTGCTCAGTGCATGTTAAAATTCCGAGGCGTGTGAAATTGCTCGTTGAGCGCGCTGAATTCCTCGGCAAATGCTTACATCTCTTGTTTGCGTATCTCTGTTGTTAGTACAGAAACCTCCGGCCTCCTCTCCCTCCTGGCCTGCCGTCTCGCATCAGCAGTGTCATCACGCGCTGCTGGGCTGCCGATCCTGCTGCCAGGCCTGAGTTTACCGAGGTACGCTTTCCGTTGCAACACGGTGATGGTGCACGTTGCTTTGTGTTGGCGTCTATCCATTTACCGAGCACAACCTGCGGCTCACCCCCCTGCGGCTTCCTCCCTACTCCAACGGGCAAACACACGATGATTGCGATGCAGATCCTCTCAACTTTGGACGGCTGCTTGAAAGGTGTCCCTTCATCGTCGCTTGTGCTTGGCTCGGCGATCGGAACCGGAGAAAGCAGCAGTGGCAGCAGTGGAGGTTCTCTGGGGCACCTCATCCGAAAATCCATTTTTGGTGGTGGTGGATCAAAGAAGTATTGAAGCGAGATCAGATAGCAAGGGAATGGAGGTTGTGCGAGAAGTTAGCGTGTTGGGTACACAGCCAGGGCACTATTGCGTGTTTCCCTCAGTTTTGCTGGTTTGTGCTGCTTGTGTTTTTAAGTGCGATGTAACTTAGTATCTTTCCACTGTAAAATCATGTAGCAAGCCTGTAAAGTTGTAGGAACTGGGCGGGTTGATTGAGACTGTACTCGCCTCTGTAGTCAAATCTTTCCTACTACTCGTTACAATCGCCCTGCTGCAACAACTATTCTTCTCCCCTTGCGGCTCGTCGTCACCTGCATTTGCGAAGAACGCGTCTGCCAGCCGTCGGGTTACCACTTGCAAGTCACATCACCCCCCCTCTCCAATTACTGTTCCTTCTCACTGACCTCTAATTGCGGGATGAATCTAGTCCATGGCTTTTCTAACCAACCACCAGCCTGCTTTATCTACTATTGCGCTGGTTTGCTTATCCGCTCCTCCGTGCCTCTGACATCTTGATCGCGTTTCTGCACCTGGGGCTCGTCGGTTTCCGAGTGCATGCACCGTCTGATTAGGGTTTCTTGCTAACGCTACTGATTTGGACCATCGCGTGCGATCTGTGGCTGCGTATGTTCCTGTAGGGGTGTGCGTGTGGTATCCGCTGCTGGTTTTAGTGCTTAAGGTTACGCCTCCTGCCGCCTCCGTGCATTGCGGTGTGCGGTGAGCTAATTGCCGCATCTATGGCGTGAGCGGCCTAGGAGACTCTGTCAGGTGTGACAAGGCGTGAAAAGGCGTTACAAGGCGTGACGAGGCGTTGATACTTACTGCTGTTATGACAAGGCTTGAGAGGAGATTGCTGTAGCTTTCGAATAACCGCTCGGATTAAACACAATAACGGGGATTTCGTTGTCGAGAGCCTTAGACGACCAGCGTTTTGCCCTCTTAGGTTGCTCAGACTGCCGCTTAAAGAATGCCTGAAGACGGCTCGGAACGACAGTTAGAGCACGAGAGAGAAGCAGCAGGCAAGAATGAGCAGCAACAGCAATCACCACAACAGCAACAGCAACAGCAACAGCAGCAGCAGCAGCAACCACAACCACCGCCACCGTCACAACAACAGCAGCAGCAGCCACCGCCGTCAGCAGCAGCTGGACAGCAGCAAGGGCCGCAGGGAGGAAAGATGGAGTACAATCACCTCCAGGCACGTGCAGATCCGCTCCCACTCATACCCGCTCCGACTTTCGCTCGCCTTTCTTACCGGCCGGCGATCCTTGGCGTGATCCCCTCGAGATTGCCGACAGTCGTATCCCTTACCCCGAGCTTTCGTATAAGGTTTTACTTTCGAGCGAACTTCTAACCGCGTTGCGTACTTGTGGTTACGATCCGCGTATCCGCGTTTAGGCTTTTCCGTCTCCCGTCATCTCGTGCCCATCTGTTGCGTTCCCTCGCCTGCGTTAAAAGCGCAACGGAAAGCGTTTCCCTCTCCGTATCCCTCCGTTGACAGTCAAAGCCTCGAATCTTTCTCCCGTCATCCGCAGCCAAAGAATCGAGTCTCCCTCCGCTGCGTTCTCTCGCGTCGCCTGCGAGTCTTTGGCTTTCAGTTTCGTGGCGCTCTCTCCCCTCCCAGCGAGGGCTAACCGCCTGCCGCGTGCTCGTGGCTTGCCAGCTGGCGGTTTTTGATTCGTACAACTGCGTCTCATCGCCCGACTCACGTTTGGAGACTCCTGACGATGATTTTCACCGGCTCCTTCCCCATTTTCTGTGTTTGCTGACCCCCTCCAGCGCTCTCCCCCTCTCTCCCCCTCTCTCCCCCTCCCCCCCCACCCCTCCGCTCCCCCCTCCATTGCCGCACTCCCCAACCCCCTATTTCCACCACCAGCGCGTGAAGGTGTATCGCCTAAATGACGATGGCAAGTGGGACGACAAGGGCACAGGCCACGTGTCAGTGGAGTACCTTGAGGTAGGGTGTTCGTGGCTCGAGGCACATTCGGTTTTCTGTAGGAATGTTTTGTTTGTTTGTTTGTTTGTTTGTTTTGTTTTGTTTTTTTTTTCTGCTAGCGCACAGGCCATGTGCCGTTTGAGCATCTCAAAAGGGGGAGGTGGTGGCTTGCAGCACATGCGGTTTTGTGAAGAATATAAAATGTTCAAATCATAGTCACAGGCCACGTGTCATTTGGGTACCCGAAGTCAGGGAGTTTTGAGGCGCCTCAAAAGGGGAAGATAAGGGCACAGGCCACGTGTCAGTGGAATACCTTGAGGTAGGGTTTTTTTTTTTTTTTTTTTTTTTTTTTTTTTTTTTTTTTTTTTTTTTTTCGTTTTCTTGAGATGCGAGCCTTCCTTGCACCGCATGTTGCTGCAATCGGATCCCATAGGCCTGGTGGTTATTGGTGAGGCGGCAGACAGTGCGGTGCAGTGCAGTGCAGTGCGGATCCCATAGGCCTGGTGGTTATTGGTGGTCTTTACTTCATGCGCCTCAAAAAGTTGATACTTTGCTTTGCTTCCTGTGTGCCATGCCCCGTGCGGCAGTGGTCGGACGCCATAGGGCTGGTGGTGAGCGAGGCAGCGAAACGCATCTCTAGTTTTGAGGCGCGTTTGAGAGGGATGCTCATGCCCCTTTCTTGCACCCCTTGCTGCAGCGATCGGACGCGATTGGTCTGGTGGTCATAGACGAGGAGGACAACGCGACGCTGCTGGTGCCTCAACGGGTATCATGCCCATCGCCATGCCGCTTTCCCTGTGTGCCATGCCACCCCTTGCTGCAGCGGTCGGACGCTATAGGGCTGGTGGTCATAGACGAGGAGGACAACGCGACGCTGCTGGTGCACCGCATCTCAGCAGACGATATCTACCAGCGGCAAGAAGGTAAACCGTGCTGAGTTGGGGTTGGGGTTGGGGTTGGGGTTGGGGTTGGGGTTGGGGTTGGGGTTTGGGTTTGGGGTAGCAAAGACGTCGCATTGCAAAGAGGACAACGCGACGCTGCTTGCTGGTGCACCGCATCTCAGCAGACCACATCTACCAGCGGCAAGAAGGTAAAGCATCGGGTTGGGTTGTATGACAGAGAAAGGTATGTATCTTATGGGTCTTGGATCGGTCTCCACGGGCTGCTGCTGCTGGTGCACCGCATCTCACCAGACCACATCTACCAGCGGCAAGAAGGTAAAGCTCCGGGGTTTGCAACCATACATGCATATTGCTTCATGTGTGCCTGCTATTCTGAGGTAGCAATATACATGGTGCTTTTCTGATGTAGCAAATTGGGTTCCGCCACTTCTGCTGGTGCTGTTCCCTATGCTGCTGGTCCCTTGCATTTTACTCTCTCACTCCCACACCACACCCACTCTATCTCCCGCAGACACCATCATATCTTGGACGGATCCCGAGGTGGCAACAGACCTGGCGCTAAGTTTCCAAGAAAGCATGGGCTGCTCCTACATATGGTGCGTCCGACCGAGAGAACACCGCTTACTGGTTTTAGCCATACGTGGCCGTACGTGGTTTTGTTTGTGAAAAAGTTTCTTGCTCTGACCTGGCGCTTAGCTTCCAAGAAGCATGGGCTGCTCCTACATATGGTGCGTCCGACCGAGAGAACACCGCTTACTGGTTTTAGCCATACGTGGCCGTACGTGGTTTCGTTTGCAACAAAGTTTCTTGCTCTGACCTGGCGCTTAGCTTCCAAGAAAGCATGGGCTGTTCCCACGTATCGTGCGTCCGTCTGTGCGTGGATGTTTGGGCTGCTCCTTCATATGGTGCATGCCTCTTGTGCTCCTGCCTACATATGTTATGACTGTTGCTGTCATGTGCTCTGTGCCCGTATGTCTGCCATGCCCGTCGTTGCTATGTATGTGCTCCGTGCGCCTTTACATGGCACGCCGCTTTGGTGTCCCAACGCTTTTGACTGATGTGTCCTTCTTGTGCGTGCAGGGATCAAATATGCAACGTGCAGCGTCAAGTGCAGGTGCCTTCTGGTGCAGGTGCGTTCCACATGTCTCACTTCCATATTCCATCCCCCTTTTTCCATTTTCACATTGCTTGTCTGTGAACCAAACCATTTTTTTTTATTTTTTTTTTGGGGGGGGGGGGGGGGGTGGGTGGTCAAATGATGCAAGCAATTGGTTTCCCAGCCGTGGAGTGCAAATGGTGACCTGTAGTGCAGTCAGTGGTCAGTGGTCAGTGGTCAGTGGTCAGTGGTCAGTACGTAAAGAAAGCTGTCTGTAGTCAGCTTTCTTTAGACTGCGGGATGAGAGGAGAGGATAACCATGTGCCCCTTCTTTTGAGGCGCCTCAGAAGATGAGAGGATAGCCATGTCCCTCTTCTGCTCCGTTCTTGCCCTGTGTGCTGTGTGCTGTGCGCTGTGTGCTGTGTGTTGTGTGCTGTGTGCTATGCGCTGTGTGCTGTGTGTTGTGTGCTGTGTGCTGTGTGCTGTGCGCTGTGCGCGATGTGGCCTGGCTCTGTGCGCTGTGTGTGGTGTTGTGCGGTGCTGTGAGGTGTTGTGGCGTGCGGTGTGGTGCGGTGCAATGTGGGAGTGCAGAGGGCGGAGGGGCAGGAGCAAGGGACGAGGTTGCGATCCACGAAGCATCTCCGGAGAATGGTGGGTTGCTGGGGAATATGGATAACTGAGGATGGTGGGTTGGTGGTTGGTTTTTGAGTCGGCTTTTGAGTCGACTCGAAGCCAGGTGCAGGAGCAGAGCAAGGGACGAGGTTGCCATCCATGAAGCATCTCCATGAAGCATCTCCATGAAGCATCTCCATGAAGCATCTCCATGAAGCATCTCCATGAAGCATCTCCATGAAGCATCTCCATGAAGCATCTCCATGAAGCATCTCCATGAAGCATCTCCATGAAGCATCTCCATGAAGCATCTCCATGAAGCATCTCCATGAAGCATCTCCATGAAGCATCTCCATGAAGCATCTCCATGAAGCATCTCCATGAAGCATCTCCATGAAGCATCTCCATGAAGCATCTCCATGAAGCATCTCCATGAAGCATCTCCATGAAGCATCTCCATGAAGCATCTCCATGAAGCATCTCCATGAAGCATCTCCATGAAGCATCTCCATGAAGCATCTCCATGAAGCATCTCCATGAAGCATCTCCATGAAGCATCTCCATGAAGCATCTCCATGAAGCATCTCCATGAAGCATCTCCATGAAGCATCTCCATGAAGCATCTCCATGAAGCATCTCCATGAAGCATCTCCATGAAGCATCTCCATGAAGCATCTCCATGAAGCATCTCCATGAAGCATCTCCATGAAGCATCTCCAGATGTCCTTGCCTTGCCAACCTTGCCATGAGGTTGTGGCTGTTCAGGCATTCTGCTTTTGAGTCGACTCAAAGGCATTCTCATGATCCTACTTTTGAGGCGCCTCTAAAAGAAAAAAGAAAAATAGGTGTCCTCATCGGATGTTGTGTTTCAAGCAGCCGCCGCAGGGATGTGTACTTATCGTGCGCAGGCATTCTCATAGTCTCACCTCACTTTTGAGTCGACTCAAAAGTCCTGCTCACACCCAGGCATTCTCATGGTCCTGTGATCTTTCTCACTCTCCGTATGTCGCTCTCCCCTTTGCTCCCCTTGCCGGTCCTCACAGCTTTGGAAGCAGCAGCAGACATGTCCGAGTTACCAGCAGTGGAGCTCAGAAACCTTCCGGTCATTGCCAAGGTGAGGAGAGTGGAGCCTTCCTGCCGTCAACGCGCACTGTGAGGTGTCTCCAAAGTGTTTCACTCCGGTCCGCACCCCTTTCACTCACCACCACTCCACTTGCGTAAACCCCAAACCACCCACCTCAGAATCCCACCCTCCTCTCCCCACGGATGCTGACACATCTTCCTCTGTACCACAAGCTCAGTTCCGCCTTTGAATAATTAACAGAATTTCCCCCCCCTCCCCTCCCCTTCCCCCCCTTCCTTCTCCTTCTTCCCCCTTGCCCCCTGCCCCTTCTTCCTCTGCCTCCCCCCTGCAGAATCCTCACAGACGCGCCTCTGTGTCACAAGGACCGCATTGCCGCTGTTGTCTCAACCCATCGTCCCCCCTCTGTAGATGCTGACTGAAATCTCCAACCCCCTCCCTCTCTCCTCCCCCCGCCCCCCTCCAGATGCTCACAGACGTGCCTCTGTTTCATAAGGACCGCATTGCCTCGCTCGCTTTACGAGAGGTGAGGGGCATGGGGACATGGGGACATGGGGTGGGTGGGGAGTGGGGTGGGGAGTAGGGTGTGGGGAGTGGGGGTGGGAACACTGTGCAAGGGGACCGCATTGCCTCTATTCTACAAGGACCGCGTTGCCTCGTTCGTTTTACGAGAGGTGAGGGACAGGGGTGAGATTCTGGGATTGGGGGATGGCTGGGCTGGGGGGTGGGTTGTTGCGAACAACACTGTGCTCGCACTGTGTCGGGGAAAGTCGCCGTTGGGGTTCAGCGCTGCGCTCACTTTCCATTCTCCCTGGGTGGTGCAAGCCCGTTCGTCCCCACCTCTTTCCCACTGCCACCGGGCTACGTGTCGGAGCTCCTGGACTGGACCCCCTTGCAGCCATGCGGACGGGCATGGGCGGAAGAGGGGGGACACCTAGCCCGGTGGCATGGCACCCAAGCTCCTGGACCCCCTTGCAGCCATGCGATGTGATGCCAAGGCCCAGAAAATCCAACGTTTCACCACCTCTTTATGCTGCCTCCCTGCCTCCCTGCCTCCCTGCCTCCTCCCCACTATCCCTCGGTGCCACAGGGCTACGTGTAACGGGCCCTAACCGTTTGACCTCTTCCGCCAATGCAAGGACTTCCCTTGTGACGCCTCAACTCCCCCCCTGCTCTCCCCCATTCTTCCTTTCTCACACGCTCAGGGCTTCGTTCGTGCCCAAGCTGCTGGACCTCTTCCGCCAGTGCGAGGATGCACCATGGGACGATGTCTCAATATTCCTCCTACTTGTATTCTCCCGCCTGCTACTCCAATCCGCCACACACACAGGGCTACGTGCCCAAGCTGCTGGACCTCTTCTGCCAGTGCGAGGATCTGCCTTGAGACGCCTTTAGTTCCCCCTGCCCTTCCTGCGTCACCTGTCTGCTTCCTCTCCCTCCCCCCCATCAGGGCTACGTGCCCAAGCTGCTGGACCTCTTCCGCCAGTGCGAGGATCTAGACAACACGGACGGGCTGCACCAGCTGTACCGCATCGCCAAGGGGCTAGGTACAGGGGTCAGGGTATAGGGTTTTGGGTGTAGGGGGTTCAGGTTTGTGGTTTCGGGTTCAGGTTGGCAGTGTAGGGTTTACGCTCTTGTGCCTGCACCAGCTCTACCGCGTTGCCAACAGGCTAGGTCAGGGTTCAGGGTAAATGATTCAGGGTTCAGGGTTTTTGGTTGTAGGGGTTGCATGAGCTGTGCAGTGTCGTGAAGGGGCTAAATAAGAGGTTCAGGGTTCAGGGTGGAGGGTGTTGTGGTTGCGGGTGTATTGTCTTACCTCTTCAGCCTCCTGTTGCCAACAATGCCATTCTGGACCTTCTCGTTCCCATGTCCCCCTTGTCTCTCCCCCTTGTCTGTCCCCCTTGTCTGTCCCCCTTGTCTGTCCCCCTTGTCTGTCTCCCTATTCTTTCCCGCTTCCCTGTCCCGCCTGTCTCCCCTTCTCCCCTTCTCCCCTTCCCCCATTCGCCCGTTCTCCCTTATCTGTCTGCAACAGTGCTCCTGAATGACACCAACCTGTTCGACCTCCTCTTTGCTGACAATGCCATTCTGGACCTTGTTGGGGCTCTTGAATGTGAGTGCCACATGCCTTGCCATGTCAGCGGACTCGTCAGTGCCATGTCAGCTGACTCGTCCGTGCCATGTCAGCATTGTCTGGGAAAATTTCCCATGAACCATGTTTTGTGATCCTGCCCACTGCCCCGTGCCCCGTGCCCCATGCCCAATGCCCCATGCCCCATGACCAATGCCCCATGCCCGATGCCCCATGCCCGATGCCCGATGCGCTGTGACCCCGACCTTCCGTCGCACCAGCAGCACCGCAAGTTTCTCTTGGAGCAAGTGGAGTACCGAGAAGAAGTGCCCATGCCTCATGCCCATAGCGGCTTCCTGTGCCCCTGACTTCATGCCCCTCACCCCACTCACCAGACGACCCCGACCTGCCGTCACGCCAGCAGCACTGCAAGTTCCTGCTGGAGCAAGTTGAGCAGCATGTGCCCCATGCCACCCACCTCCCCTGCTCCCCGGATTCCTGAGAATTCTCAAAAACACCTGCTGCCCTCGACACAAAATCAAGGATTCCTCACGCCTCCTGCCCTCGACGACCCCGCCCTGCCCTCGCGCCAGCAGTACCGCAAGTTCCTGCTGGAGCAAGCTGAGCAGCATGTGCCTCACACCCTCTCGCCATCCTCCATGCCCCATACCCGCATCTCTCTGCTCCCCACACTCCCCACCCCACCAGACGACCCCGACCTGCCCTCACGCCAGCAGCACCGCATGCCCTCTCAGACCCTCAATTCTCTCATACCCCATACCCACAATTCTCTGAGCCCCATGCCCCACCCACCGCCAGACGACCCCGACCTGCCGTCGCGGCAGCAGCACCGCAAGTTCCTGCTGGAGCAAGTGGAGTACCGCGAGGCCGTGCCCTTTCAGGACCCTGCCCTGCTCTCCAAGATCCACCAGACGTACCGCCTGGGGTACATCAAGGTGCGGCTGGGCGTGTGTGGGTAACAGCAAGGTGCGGCTGGGCGTGTGTGGCTGGGATGCAGCAAGGTGCGTGCTTGCTGCAGCAAGGCGCATCTCGTGTGGTGCAAGGTGTGCCCATCCAGGACCCTGCCCTACGCTCCAATCACCTTCTCCTGCCACTCCCTCGTGCCACCTCAGCATCACACTTGCTGGCCCTGTTTCGCCTTCCTTCGTTCGCGTTGAGCACTTCCAGTAAACGTTCCTTCCCCCCTCGGGGCCCTCCTTATGAGTCGACTCAAAAGCAGCATAACGTTCCTTCTCCCCTCGGGGCCCTCCTTATGAGTCGACTCAAAAGCAGTAAACGTTCCTTCCCCCCTCGGGGCCCTCCTTATGAGTCGACTCAAAAGCAGTAAACGTTCCTTCCCCCCTCGGGGCCCTCCTTATGAGTCGACTCAAAAACAGTAAACGTTCCTTCCCCCCTCGGGGCCCTCCTTATGAGTCGACTCAAAAGCAGTAAACGTTCCTTCCCCCCTCGGGGCCCTCCTTATGAGTCGACTCAAAAACAGTAAACGTTCCTTCCCCCCTCGGGGCCCTCCTTATGAGTCGACTCAAAAGCAGTAAACGTTCCTTCCCCCCTCGGGGCCCTCCTTATGAGTCGACTCAAAAGCAGTAAACGTTCCTTCCCCCCTCGGGGCCCTCCTTATGAGTCGACTCAAAAGCAGTAAACGTTCCTTCCCCCCTCGGGGCCCTCCTTATGAGTCGACTCAAAAGCAGTAAACGTTCCTTCCCCCCTCGGGGCCCTCCTTATGAGTCGACTCAAAAGCAGTAAACGTTCCTTCCCCCCTCGGGGCCCTCCTTATGAGTCGACTCAAAAGCAGTAAACGTTCCTTCCCCCCTCGGGGCCCTCCTTATGAGTCGACTCAAAAGCAGTAAACGTTCCTTCCCCCCTCGGGGCCCTCCTTATGAGTCGACTCAAAAGCAGTAAACGTTCCTTCCCCCCTCGGGGCCCTCCTTATGAGTCGACTCAAAAGCAGTAAACGTTCCTTCCCCCCTCGGGGCCCTCCTTATGAGTCGACTCAAAAGCAGTAAACGTTCCTTCCCCCCTCGGGGCCCTCCTTATGAGTCGACTCAAAAGCAGTAAACGTTCCTTCCCCCCTCGGGGCCCTCCTTATGAGTCGACTCAAAAGCAGTAAACGTTCCTTCCCCCCTCGGGGCCCTCCTTATGAGTCGACTCAAAAGCAGTAAACGTTCCTTCCCCCCTCGGGGCCCTCCTTATGAGTCGACTCAAAAGCAGTAAACGTTCCTTCCCCCCTCGGGGCCCTCCTTATGAGTCGACTCAAAAGCAGTAAACGTTCCTTCCCCCCTCGGGGCCCTCCTTATGAGTCGACTCAAAAGCAGTAAACGTTCCTTCCCCCCTCGGGGCCCTCCTTATGAGTCGACTCAAAAGCAGTAAACGTTCCTTCCCCCCTCGGGGCCCTCCTTATGAGTCGACTCAAAAGCAGTAAACGTTCCTTCCCCCCTCGGGGCCCTCCTTATGAGTCGACTCAAAAGCAGTAAACGTTCCTTCCCCCCTCGGGGCCCTCCTTATGAGTCGACTCAAAAGCAGTAAACGTTCCTTCCCCCCTCGGGGCCCTCCTTATGAGTCGACTCAAAAAGCAGTAAACGTTCCTTCCCCCCTCGGGGCCCTCCTTATGAGTCGACTCAAAAGCAGTAAACGTTCCTTCCCCCCTCGGGGCCCTCCTTATGAGTCGACTCAAAAGCAGTAAACGTTCCTTCCCCCCTCGGGGCCCTCCTTATGAGTCGACTCAAAAGCAGTAAACGTTCCTTCCCCCCTCGGGGCCCTCCTTATGAGTCGACTCAAAAGCAGTAAACGTTCCTTCCCCCCTCGGGGCCCTCCTTATGAGTCGACTCAAAAAGCAGTAAACGTTCCTTCCCCCCTCGGGGCCCTCCTTATGAGTCGACTCAAAAGCAGTAAACGTTCCTTCCCCCCTCGGGGCCCTCCTTATGAGTCGACTCAAAAGCAGTAAACGTTCCTTCCCCCCTCGGGGCCCTCCTTATGAGTCGACTCAAAAGCAGTAAACGTTCCTTCCCCCCTCGGGGCCCTCCTTATGAGTCGACTCAAAAGCAGTAAACGTTCCTTCCCCCCTCGGGGCCCTCCTTATGAGTCGACTCAAAAGCAGTAAACGTTCCTTCCCCCCTCGGGGCCCTCCTTATGAGTCGACTCAAAAGCAGTAAACGTTCCTTCCCCCCTCGGGGCCCTCCTTATGAGTCGACTCAAAAGCAGTAAACGTTCCTTCCCCCCTCGGGGCCCTCCTTATGAGTCGACTCAAAAGCAGTAAACGTTCCTTCCCCCCTCGGGGCCCTCCTTATGAGTCGACTCAAAAGCAGTAAACGTTCCTTCCCCCCTCGGGGCCCTCCTTATGAGTCGACTCAAAAGCAGTAAACGTTCCTTCCCCCCTCGGGGCCCTCCTTATGAGTCGACTCAAAAGCAGTAAACGTTCCTTCCCCCCTCGGGGCCCTCCTTATGAGTCGACTCAAAAGCAGTAAACGTTCCTTCCCCCCTCGGGGCCCTCCTTATGAGTCGACTCAAAAGCAGTAAACGTTCCTTCCCCCCTCGGGGCCCTCCTTATGAGTCGACTCAAAAGCAGTAAACGTTCCTTCCCCCCTCGGGGCCCTCCTTATGAGTCGACTCAAAAGCAGTAAACGTTCCTTCCCCCCTCGGGGCCCTCCTTATGAGTCGACTCAAAAGCAGTAAACGTTCCTTCCCCCCTCGGGGCCCTCCTTATGAGTCGACTCAAAAGCAGTAAACGTTCCTTCCCCCCTCGGGCCCTCCTTATGAGTCGACTCAAAAGCAGTAAACGTTCCTTCCCCCCTCGGGGCCCTCCTTATGAGTCGACTCAAAAGCAGTAAACGTTCCTTCCCCCCTCGGGCCCTCCTTATGAGTCGACTCAAAAGCAGTAAACGTTCCTTCCCCCCTCGGGGCCCTCCTTATGAGTCGACTCAAAAGCAGTAAACGTTCCTTCCCCCCTCGGGGCCCTCCTTATGAGTCGACTCAAAAGCAGTAAACGTTCCTTCCCCCTCGGGGCCCTCCTTATGAGTCGACTCAAAAGCAGTAAACGTTCCTTCCCCCCTCGGGGCCCTCCTTATGAGTCGACTCAAAAGCAGTAAACGTTCCTTCCCCCCTCGGGGCCCTCCTTATGAGTCGACTCAAAAGCAGTAAACGTTCCTTCCCCCCTCGGGGCCCTCCTTATGAGTCGACTCAAAAGCAGTAAACGTTCCTTCCCCCCTCGGGGCCCTCCTTATGAGTCGACTCAAAAGCAGTAAACGTTCCTTCCCCCCTCGGGGCCCTCCTTATGAGTCGACTCAAAAGCAGTAAACGTTCCTTCCCCCCTCGGGGCCCTCCTTATGAGTCGACTCAAAAGCAGTAAACGTTCCTTCCCCCCTCGGGGCCCTCCTTATGAGTCGACTCAAAAGCAGTAAACGTTCCTTCCCCCCTCGGGGCCCTCCTTATGAGTCGACTCAAAAGCAGTAAACGTTCCTTCCCCCCTCGGGGCCCTCCTTATGAGTCGACTCAAAAGCAGTAAACGTTCCTTCCCCCTCGGGGCCCTCCTTATGAGTCGACTCAAAAGCAGTAAACGTTCCTTCCCCCCTCGGGGCCCTCCTTATGAGTCGACTCAAAAGCAGTAAACGTTCCTTCCCCCCTCGGGGCCCTCCTTATGAGTCGACTCAAAAGCAGTAAACGTTCCTTCCCCCCTCGGGGCCCTCCTTATGAGTCGACTCAAAAGCAGTAAACGTTCCTTCCCCCCTCGGGGCCCTCCTTATGAGTCGACTCAAAAGCAGTAAACGTTCCTTCCCCCCTCGGGGCCCTCCTTATGAGTCGACTCAAAAGCAGTAAACGTTCCTTCCCCCCTCGGGGCCCTCCTTATGAGTCGACTCAAAAGCAGTAAACGTTCCTTCCCCCCTCGGGGCCCTCCTTATGAGTCGACTCAAAAGCAGTAAACGTTCCTTCCCCCCTCGGGGCCCTCCTTATGAGTCGACTCAAAAGCAGTAAACGTTCCTTCCCCCCTCGGGGCCCTCCTTATGAGTCGACTCAAAAGCAGTAAACGTTCCTTCCCCCCTCGGGGCCCTCCTTATGAGTCGACTCAAAAGCAGTAAACGTTCCTTCCCCCCTCGGGGCCCTCCTTATGAGTCGACTCAAAAGCAGTAAACGTTCCTTCCCCCCTCGGGGCCCTCCTTATGAGTCGACTCAAAAGCAGTAAACGTTCCTTCCCCCCTCGGGGCCCTCCTTATGAGTCGACTCAAAAGCAGTAAACGTTCCTTCCCCCCTCGGGGCCCTCCTTACCCCCCCCTTCTCCGTGCGTTTGTGTCTCTCTGGCAGGATGTGATTCTGCCATTTTGAGTTGTCTCAAAATCAAAATACACATCTTTCAGTGCAACAATGCACCCTCCCCCCCCCCTGCTCCGTGTGTTTGTTTTTTTCTCTCGGGCAGGATGTGATTCTACCCCGGGTTTTGGACGACCAGACATACGGGACAATCAACTCCCTAATTTTGTTCAATAATGTGGAGGTGGGTGAAGGGGAAAGCCGTCCCTAAACTGTAAACTACAAATGTGCTCAATTGTGAGGAGGTGGGTGGCGAGAAATTAACAGTCGCCTGCTGACGGAATCCGGGTTTGAGTTTTTTTGTTCTCTAAGGGGTTTTATGCTTGAGTTTTTGCTTTATCTTCCCCGTTTCTTTCATTTTGGGACAAAGGGCACTGTTTTTTTTTTTTTTTTTTTTTTTTGGTTTTTATTTGTTTTTTATTCTCTCTCTTTTCCTGCTCGCTCTCCTCCCATCTCTATCATCATTTGCCCAACCACCCCTCGCTCTCCATTTCCATCTCCAGGTGGGGTCCTCCGTGTTGGGTGTCAAGTCAAGCCCTTTCTCGTGTACCTCCTCTCTCTCCCATCTGCTTATCTCACTCCCTCTTCCTCCTCCTCAACCCCCCTCTGTATCTATATCTCTCTTTCTCTCACACCATCTCCAGGTGGTGTCCGTCCACCCTGCAGGCGACAAGCCCTTTCTCGTGTACCTGATCTCTTCTCCCAGCTGTTTATCTCATTCACTTCCTCTCTCTCTTCTTCATCCGTTCACTCTCTCTCCCTCACACCATCTGCAGGTGGTGTCCACCCTGCAGGGCGACAAGCCCTTTCTTGTGGACCTTTTCTCCCAGCTGCGATCCAAAGAACCCTCCTCCCAGGCGTTCAGAGACCTGGTGAGATATATGTGATGTCCAAATGCTTGACCTGAGTGAGGCTATAAAGGGGTGTCCATGGTCGATCCAAAGAACCCTCCTCCCAGGCGTTCAGAGACCTGGTGAGATATATGTGATGTCCAAATGCTTGACCTGAGTGAGGCTATAAAGGGGTGTCCATGGTCGATCCAAAGAACCCTCCTCCCAGGCATTCAGAGACCTGGTGAGTTCTTTGAGCCCAGTACCGCCCAGTCACCCTGCAATCGCTGCATACTCCTGAACACAGTTGTTAAAAAGTAGACGTTTGCTCTCGCGGCCCTGCCCCTTCATGCCAGAATGGGGCTCTGGCCGCCAGATTGGGGCTCTGACCGCCAGAATGGGGGCTTTGACCACCAGAATGTGGCTTGTGATTTGTCTAAAACCTGGCTTGCTCTTTCTTCTCCCCCTATTCTCTTCCACTCTTTGCTCCGTGCGAGCCAGCACAGACTCATTTGACTTTTGAGTCGACAAATAAAGTTGCCTGTTTGCACTGTGCTAGCCAGCACAGACTCATTTGACTGGGCTGCACTGATGCACATAGAAACCCGCATAAACACCAGGTTTTTTTTTTCTTCTTTTTCTTCTTCTTTTCTTCGCTTTGCTTTCTTCTTGTTTCGCCAGGTCCGCTTTCTTCAGGAGTTTTGTTCCCTGCACAAACACCTGCAGATAACACAGAGAAACCAGTCCTTCAGGTATGGTGTCAGTTAGGTATGGTACAGTGCCAGGCATGGTGTTAGGCATGGTGTCAGTTAGGTATGGTACGGTGCCAGGCATGGTGTCAGGCATAATGTGTTCACTCTTTGGTTGCCGTGCCGCATGTTTTCAAGTGCTTTCATCCCCTTGTCCACATGTAATGCTCTCATTAGCCTTAGTCTCTCCTGCCCCCGCCCCCCTTTCTGTCCACGTGGAGTGCACTCATTGGCCTAGGTCTCTCCCCCTGTCGCTCTCCTGTCCCTCGTCCCCCCCAACCCCCCCCCCCCCCCCTTCTGTCCACGTGCAGTGCACTGATTGGCCTGGGCCTCTTCGAAATCGTCACCACCATCCTTCAACACTCTGACGCCTCCCTCCGTCTCTGCGGGTAGGTCTCTGTCGTCCAACCCTGCTCCCTCCATCTCTGCGGGTACGCCTCCCACCCCAGCACTGGTAGGGACCCCCTGATTCGGATTCCTTTCGCCCTAGCACCGCCAGAGGACACCCCTCCCCACCCCCCGTTCTAGCACCCCACGAGGTTAACCCCCCCCTAGCACCGTTCCCCATGTTAGAACTGCTGTAAGCACACACCCTGCCCTGGATGCACCTCTCCCTAAAATCACCAACGCATCTCAAGCCACCCTTTCCTTGTTCCTCTACGCACCTTTCCCTCATTTTGCAGGGTGTTTGCACCTTTCCCTTTCACACCTTTCCCTAAAAACACGCTCAGAACTCCCTTCCCCTTCCCCTCCCCTCCCCTCCCCTCCCTCCCCTCCCCTCCCCTCCCCTCCTCTCCTCAGCACAGACGTCCTCCTGCACTAAAACTCCATCCTCTCACGCAAAACCAAAGAGCGGCTCCCCTCCTCTCCCCTCCTCCCCCCTCCTCTACTCTCCTCAGCACGGACATCCTCCTGCCAGGACCCCGAGGCACGGACCCTTGTTCCCCAGCGCGCCCCAAGCCAGTTTTGAGGCGCCTCGGACCCTTGTTCCCCAACGCACCCCAAGCCCTGAACCTCTCCCTCATCCCCTCGTGTCACTTCCCCTCTGTCTCCTACCCTTCCTCCTTCTCCTCCTCCTCCTCCTCCTCCTCCTCCTCCTCCTCCTCCCCCCCCCCCCCCCCCTTCTCCCCCCCCTTCCTCTCCACTCTGCAGTACGGACATCCTCATGTCGGCCCTTAGTCCCGACCCCGCCCCCCTGCGCACTTTTCTGGTGGAGCAACCCGGCCACACGCTCTTCTCCTGCCTGGTACGCCCCACCCACCCTCTTCATTTTTTATGAGTCTTAGTACCAGTCCCGAACCCCCCCCGTTCCGCACTTTTCCGGTAAGTGCACTCTGCTTTTGAGGCGCCTCAAAAATAGACTCCTAGTGCACGCTATCAGAAACTGAGAATTTGATTGATTAAAATGAGCAAGAGCATACATCCTTAAGTACCGAGCATCGGAGAGGATGGGAAGGGATAAGGGAGAATCGGAGGGAATCCCAAAGGAATCCTCCCAAATCGTGGGGATTTGGGATGGATTGGGTTGGGATAGGTTGGGGATGAAAACATAGCTACACCCAACCTAACAAATATGTGTATCCCTAAAACCAACAAAGTGCCAACACACAAAATTGTGCCAACCGAATTGCAGCCTATCTCTAACACACCCCCTAGGCTGCAACGTTGGAAGCCGTAGGGACGCCAAGTCCCATGGTACGGAGGAGACGATAGTGATCACGGCGTCCAAGAGCCTTCGTAAACAAGTCGATGAGGTTGCAGCCAGAGGAAATATGCTTGACGCACAACTGCCCTCGCTGGACGAGCTCGCGCATGAAGAAGTGTCTCAATTCGATATGCTTGGTTCGTTGGTGGAAGACAGGGTCTTTGGTGAGGTGGATGGTGCTCTCGTTATCACACCACAGAGTCGGGGTCTGCTGAGGATACCCGAGCTCAGCCATGAGGTAGGTAAGCCATCGAGCTTCTTGGGCTACCATGGTGTCTGCGTATAGCTCAGCTTCGCAAGATGACAATGAGACGGATGATGAGCGTGTAGATCGCCAGCTGATGACACCACTGCCAAGGGTGAAGCAATAGCCTTGGGAAGAGCGGCGGTCAGCTTGATCATCAGCCCATGAGGAGTCGCTGTATCCCTCGAGGTGAGGAGGGGTCGTGCCACCGAGAGTGAGGACGTAGTCCTTGGTGGCTTGGAGGTAGCGAAGGACGCGCTTAGCAGCCGACCAGTGGCGATTGGTGTATCGACCGGCAGCAACGTAACGCGAGAGCACACTGATGGGGTAGGCGAGGTCGGGCCTTGTGCACATCATCGCATACATGAGTGATCCGACGAGCTCGGGTTATGCCTCATCACAAGGCTCAGGCGATGGAACTGATGGAGTGGTCAGATCATGCTGCAAGGGAAGGGGAGTGGCCACTGGCTTGGCGTTGTCCATGGCAAAACGCTTGAGGACGTTGTTCACATAGAACTCTTGAGAGAGAGTGATGGTTCGAGCTTCGCGATCCCGCGAGATTTCCATCCCAAGGTAGTTCTTGAGTTCCCCGAGGTCCTTCATGGCGAGAGCGTCCCCAAGAGCTTGCTTAACAGCTGCCAGCCGATCGGAGTCCTTGGAGACGAGAATCATCTCGTCAACGTAGACGAGAATGAAGAACGGGTTCTCGTTCTTGCGAATGAAGAGACTCGGATCGGCTGAGGAGGGGTGGAAGTCGAGTGACTCGAGGGTTGCCTTCAGCTTCTTGTGCCATTCCCGAGGAGCCTGCTTCAACCCGTAGACTGGTCGATTCATCTTCTAGACCGTGCCGGGTGGAAAGGGTAAGGGAAATCCTTGAGGACGTTCCATGTAGATGTCCTCGGGGAGATCCCCTTGGAGAAATGCAGTAGAGACGTCCATGGAGTGAACGCCAAAGTTGCATCGAGCAGCGATGTCCAGCAGGGTCCGAAGTGTGGGCAGTTTGGCTGTCGGAGAGAACGTGTCGAAGAAGTCCAGGCCCTTCTTCTGCGTGAAGCCTTTTGCACAGTATCGCGCCTTGAAGACTGGGAGTTCGCCAGGCAGCTGCTTGATGCGAAAAACCCATTTGCCACGGACAATGTTAACTCCTCGCGGAGGAGAGACGTCCGTGAAAGAGTTGTTGCGAATGAATGCTTCACACTCCGCGATCATGGCTGCGAGCCACTGGGGGGAGTGTGGTCCAGAGATGGCTTCATCATACGAGTTCGTGGTCGGGATGGAACGCGTCCTTCAAAACCTGGGTTGCGCACGCTGCTCCCTAGGACCAAACGCGTCCTTCAAAACCTGGGTAAGCCTTGGATTGGATTGCGTGCGTGCGAGCAGCAGGTGGGCTCACAATGGTTGAGCATCAGAGCCTCTGCACCACCCTCGACACACTCCCCTGCGCACTCCCCTGCGCACGTGCAGTTCTGAGACGTTTCAAGGCTAGAGGCTCGGCGCCACCCCAAAGTCACTCCCCAACACCGCACGTGCAGTGCAGGTGCTGGTCACAGGCGCCATGCAGGCTGGCGAGAAGAAGAGCAAGGTACCCTTCCCCATCTCCCACCAATTCCTCTCCCACCACCCCTTCTCCCACCACCCCCTTTCCCTTCCCTTCCCCAGGTCAAGGGCATCGTGGAGCGGAGCCAGGGAGGCGGGCCCCCACGCTCAGTTGGTAACTTGGTACAGATTCTGCAGCAGCTGCTGGGCACAGACTCCATGGCGACGGCTGAGAAGAGCACCCTGCCGGGTCCCCTTGACTCCCCCCTCATTCGGGTCGCCCTTCCTCTGTCCCCTTCCCCTCTCCCTTTCCCCAGGTGAAAGGCATGGTGGAGCGGAGCCAGGGAGAGGCGGGCCCCCATGCTCAACTCCAAGAGATCCTGACACAACTAATGGACACTGACACCATGGAGACGGCTGAGAAGATCAAGTTCTTCCCCACTTCGAGGTGACTTTTGAGTCGACTCAGAAGCACAAGTTGCTCCCCTCTTCGCCCCCTTCCCCAGGTCAAGGGCATGGTGGAACGCAGCCACGGAGAGGCGGGCCCACACGTTCAGTTGCTAGAGATTTTGAGGCAGCTGCTGGATACAGACACCATGGAGACGGCTGAGAAGAACAAGTTCCTAGACGTGTTCTATGAGGAGTATGTGGACGTGCTTGTGAAGGGGATAACCACTGCCGCCGCTGCTGCCGCTGCTGGTGGGAGGGCGGATGGGGGCACACAGGGAGTGGGCGGGGCACTAGGAGCCACAGCAGGAGGGGGAGGAGTAGGAGGAGCGGGTGGTTCGCCGGCTCCCGAGGTGCTTGCGAGTATCTGCGACCTGCTGTGCTTCTGTGTGCTCCACCATAGCTTCCGAATGAAGTGAGTCAATTCCTTCCTCTCATTACTTAATCTTCACGTCACCACATGTGCTCTGGTGTGCTGTGCTTCTGTGTTGCTTGCACCATGGCTTCCACATGAAGTTAGTCAGCCCTGTGTGCTGTCAGCCTGTGCTGAGAGAGAAGGCGCTGCAGCTGGTGAATCGTGTTGGTGCGGCATTGTTGGTTGAACCCACTCGCCACAAGGCACATGGAGAAGGTGCCCTGTGTGCTGTCGACTTGTACTGAGATCCCAAGGATCGTCACTCACTGTGTGCTGTCGACCTGTACTGAGAAGGCGCTGCTGCTGGTGAATCATGTTAAACTTATCGCTCCCCCCCTCCTCCCCCCCCCCCTCCTTCCTTTCACTCATTATTCTCCCCAACGCCCTCCTTCCCCCCTTAAATGTCAGGCACTACGTGCTGCGCAACAATGTGTTTGAGAAGGTGCTGCTTCTGGTGCAGCGTGTTTGGTTGATCCCACCTGCTTCTCCCCTCTCACTCACTTCCCCCCCCCTACCCGCCCAACCCCCTCAATTCCCCCGCTCAAGGTACTACGTGCTGCGCAACAACGTGGTGGAGAAGGTGATGCGGCTGGTGCGCCATTGTTGGCTGAACCCACTCGCCACGTACAATGTATCCATCCCTATGTCTCCTCCTCTTCCCCTCACTCTGCCCCCCCCTCCCCCCCCCCCCCCCCCTCTTCCCCCCCTCCTAGGTACTACGTGTTGCGCAACAACGTCGTGGAGAAGGTGCTGCGGCTGGTGAAGCGGCGGGAGAGGTACCTGGTGGTGGCTGCAGTGCGCTTCCTGCGCGCCTGCATCAGCCTCAAGGTGCGTCCCGCTTGTGCTCAGAACCCCTCAAAACCCCTCAGAACCTCTCATGTCTACCCGAGGCCCAAGAAGTTAGCTGATGGTGGAGCGGAGGGAGAGGTGCCCGGTGGTGGCTGCAGTGCGCTTCCTGTGCTGTGCGCCTGCATCAGCCTCAAGTTGTGTTCCCTTTGACACATCAGCCTGAGGTTGCGCCCTTTTAGGCGCAGTGGGTTTCTTAGAATCCGCATTGAGCCAACAGCAGGAGAGGTGCCTGCTGGAGACAAATGCTTTTGAGTCGGCTCAACACACGCATTCCCCCCTCCCTTCCCGCCCACCCCTTGCTTACCTCACGACAGGACGACTTGTATCTGCGCTATCTGGTCAAGAATCGTTTGTTCAAACTGGCTGTAGGGGCCTTCACAGCCAATGTCAGCCATGTCAGCCCATGCCTGTTGATCACTTCGTAGCGCCCTTGTATTTCAATCGACCCCATGCAGGATGACTTCTACCTGCGCTATGTGGTAAAGAACTGCCTGTTCGAGCTGGGGAAGACCCATTTACACACACACTCCCCCTCCCCCCCTTTCCCTCTGACCCCAACCGCACAGGACGACTTCTACCTGCGCTATCTGGTCAAGAACCGCCTGTTCGAGCCAGTTGTAGCGGCCTTCAGAGCCAACGGCAGCCGCTACAACCTGCTCAACTCCGCTGTGCTGGACCTTGTTGAGTTCATCCGCAAGGTGTGTGGGTGGTGCTGGTGTGAAGGGTGCAGTGCTGATCTTGGTGAGTGGCAGCTGTAGCAGCCGCTACAGCCCTCTCAACTCCGCCGTGCTGGATCTGGTGGAGCTCATTCGCAAGGTGAGCTGCTGGTGCTGGTGGTTACTGTGGTGTGTTCTTGCATGGCGTGCTTGCATCATGTGCTTGCATCATGTGCTTGCATCATGTGCTTGCATCATGTGCTTGCGTGCATCGAGTCCTTAGTCACCCATTAGGCCGTAGGTCCCGTTGGCTCACAATGGATATTCATGTGTCTTTCTGTGCGTGCATCCGTGCGTGCATCCATGCATCTTTGCTTGCGCAGGAGAACATCAAGTCTTTAGTCACCCATCTGGTCGAGACCTATGGCTCCTGGTTTGACTCCGTTGACTACGTTGACTCGTTCAAGCTGCTGCGCCTCAAATACGAGCAGGTCAGCATGCTGACATGGCATATCAGGCTCTTGATTCCGTTGACTACGTTGACTCGTTCAAGCTGCTGCGCCTCAAATACGAGCGGGTGGGAGGGAATGGGGAGATGTGAGAGGTAGTGAGGTCAGGTGAGAGAGGTAGTGAGGTCAGGTGAGAGAGGTAGTGAGGTCAGGTGAGAGAGGTAGTGCGGACGGACTGGTGAGAGGGAATGACGCACAAATGAGGAGAGGTGGGGATCTGTTTGACTCCATTGACTCCGTTGACTGTTGACTCCCTTGACTCTGTTGACTCCCTTGACTCTTTGACTCCCTTGAATCTGTTGACTTCCTTGACTCTGTAGACTCCCTTGTCTCCCTTGACTCCTTCAAGCTGCTGCGCCTCAAATACAAATGGGTCAGCAGCCTTTGAGCGATTTTCAGAGGAGCCCTTGGCCGTCTGTTCACCCTCCCACCCGCCATCAGCGGGCGAAGGGCAACAGGGCCACATCCATCAGCGGTCGAAGGGCAACAGGGCCACATCCATCAGCGGTCGAAGGGCAACAGGGCCACATCCATCAGCAGGCGAAGGGCAACAGGGCCACAGCCATCAGCGGGCAATCAATGCAGCCTTGCACCTTTTCCCCCCCCAACCTCTCCCACCACCGCGCCCACCTCCCCCACCTCCCTCAACCCCCTTCCACACACAGCAGAACCTCGAGTCAGTGCAGCCTGCAGAGGAGCTTTCTGCGGCCCCTCCCCCTTCTGCTGCCCCTCCCCCTTCCCTCCTGCCTCAAGCCACAGCCATGAACGGACTATCAATGCAGCCTTGCACTTGATGACTTTTGAGTCGACTCAAAAGGCACTTGATTCACCCCCCTCTCTCCCCCCCACACACAACAGAACCTTGAATCCATGCGGCCTGCAGAGGAGCCCTCGGCTGCCCCCCCACCCTCCCACTTGCCCCGGGCCACAGCCGTCAGCGTGCAATCAAGCGGTGACAGGTGGCGGCACGAGAGTGGTGGTGGGGGTGCAGCAGGAGGGGGAGGAGAAGGTGGGAGGGGTGGGGAGGGGATGGAGAGGGGGGGGCGAGTGAGGGTGGAGAAGAGGAGAGTGCGGGAGGAGAGGGAGTTGGAGAGAGAGGAGGAGGACTACTTCGAGAGTGGAGGGGACAGGTAGGACTCGTGGTTTTGAGACGTCTCAAAACTGCAGGTAGTCCGAATGGTGGTGCCTGCCAGGCATTCTGATTTCCCCTTCCTTTCTCTCTCCATTCCTTGTTGCGGTCCAGTAGAGTCTCCCGAGAAATCTCAGAAGTTCGTTTCTGATCTCCCTCTCCTTCTTCCCAGTCGCCTTCCCTTGCTTGCCTGCGCTGATGTCTTTCCCTTCACGGTATCTTCAATATCCTTCTTGTATCGAATCACTCAGTGACGAGGATGAGCCAGCACCAACCCAGGAGGAGCTGGACGACAGCCTGCCTGTGCTGGACCCCTCTGGCACGCCTCCCCTGCCGCGCCGCAAGTCGCGCTCGCCCTCTCCGCCCCACGCCCTCATCAACGGTGCCATACAGCAAGACCCTGGCTCCAGGTGCGTGTCCTTCTGCAGTATACTTAGTACCCCTCAGGCGCTCCTCCCCCCTGCCCTTGCATTGCTGAAGTCCCGATCGCCCTCCCCACCCCGCACCCTTGTCAACCCCTCACTCAGGTGTGTGTTTTCCCCTTGTCATCTCCGTGTTTGCTGTCCCTGTTCTTTGCCCCTCCCATGCCCTCTCCTTGCCTCTCCCCCTCTGCAGGAAGCCGCCTTTTGGCCTTGTGGATTACGAGGATGAGGACGACGAAGACCGCCCCTCTTCCTCCTCCTCCCCTTTCCCTCCCAGCCCCCGACCCTCCTCCGGCTCTCCAGCCTCGGGCCGAGGCTTCGAGGCTCGGGGAGAGGTTCGGGGAGAGGCTCAGGGAGAGGCTCGGAATGGGCCGAAGCGGATCAGTACGGGAGGAGCAGGCTCGGGAGGGAGGGATGGGTCAGCCCAAGCCCAAGGAATGCAAAAGAGGCGAAAATCGGCCGATGGTGGGGGTTTCAGGAGAATATCTGGGGGTAAAATAGTCGTGGGGGGGAAGGGGAAGCTTGGGGCTATGCTGGCCCGATCTGCTCTGGTGAAAAGAGGGGGAGATGGGGGGGGGAATAAGGGAGGGGGGGCGAAGGGGGAGGAGGAGAGGGAGAGGATCAAGCAAGAGAGGAAGGAAGAGGTGAGGGGGAAGAGGGTTCTGGCTCGGGGCAATCAAGCAAGGAGATGGGCAGGGAGGAGGGAAGCAGGAGAGATGAAAGGAGTGGCAAGGAGGAGAAAATGAGTAAGAAGCCTGGAGCAAAAGAGAGCAACGGAGGCCCTAGCAGGTGCAGCAGGGCCGCGGGTCAGGCCTACCCCAAACCCCCCTCTCCCTCCTCGTCGCCGTCTTCCCCCTCTCCCATGTCCTCTCCTTCATCCTCGCCAAGAGCATCTCCATCACCGTCATCGTCACCCAAATCGTCACCAAAATCATCGGCTTCACAGTCGCCTAAATCATCCCCATCCCCATCACCTCGATCGTCCCCCTCGCCGTCGTCGTCACCGCCCGCATCGCCGAAAGGAGCAGAAACAGCAGAAACAGCAGAAACCGGAGGAACAGTAGCAGCAGCAGGAGCAGCAGGAGGAAGAGGAGAAACAGCAGCAGCAGCAGCAGCAGGAAGAGCAGGCGAAACGCCTGATGCTGCGAAGGGGTTGGATAATCTGCAAGGCGGTGATGGAGCCTTGTCTGACAAGGCGTCTACGGGTGCTCCGCAGGAGAAAGTTCAGGAGTACCTTCAGGAGAAGGGGGAAGGGGAAGGCAGAACAGGGGGGGGTGGACTGGAGGGTACACCTGCACCTGCGGGTGATTTTGGCTGCACAGGCAATGGCACTTCGGGTGAAACTAACAAGAGTGATAACAGCGAGAGTGTGCTAGGAGAGAATAAGGCAGGCACAACTGGTGGAGGGGCCATTCAGGGTGATAGTGGCAGCAAGCGGCGATCAGAAGGGGAGGGGGTGAGGGATTGGGGGGAGGAGAGGCACGAGCACAAGAGAGCAAAGGAGGGCGCTCCTGTTGCACTCTGAATACTCTCGGCTTACACATTAGTGCGCTTTGGTTGTGCGCCGTGGCGAGAGAATGAGGGGAGCTGCATTGCTCTGGGTACATTTCATTGCATTCTCTTGATGGGGCATAGCCTGCACTGCCATAAGCTGGCCCCAGGTCATTGGTTTTAGATAGAACATGATGCGAGTTCGGCATGTAGATTGCATCTACATGAAATTTGACATCTAGAAATCCTCAGCTGCAATATTTCCTCATCTGTTCATTTTGGTGGCACTTCTTGTTGCTCATATTGAAAGTAAGTTGGATCCGTGCACTTGGTGATTATGTAAGCATCTTGGTTGGTGCACAATGAGGAACTGAAGGAGAACCTCCATGCTCCTGCTCAGCCTAAAACTAGTGTCCTGTTTTCCACTTTGCGCAGCTCGTACCGCTAGATTTTTCATTGGTTGGGACGGGAGGGTGAAGTACGGTTACAGAACACGACAAAATGAGGCTGTCAGTGGCGGCGAGTCAAGCACTTTGCCTTTCATCAGTGGCACGCTGTCGGTGGTGGTCAGGTGTCCTTTGTGATAATGTACAGGCACCTGGGCTCTCGCTAACCCTAGGGTATTCCGTTAGTTCACGGAATCGGCCCCGAAAATACCCGCTAGCGGACGGAATCGCCAAAATTTTACCCGTCAGCAAACTGATTCGTCGAAGGGGTACTCTTGGTTTGATACTATACATCCTTGGAAGGAAAATTGGCCTTGGCAAGGGCTAAGGAAAAGCCATCGAAACCCCAGGGACTGTCCTACGCCTCAGGCAGCTGGAAGAGTAAGACTCCCGGCAACTAACCTCGCGCTTTGCTTAGTGGAGAGTTGTGAAAAGTAGAGGGGAGGGTGTGAAGCACCCGGGGTGATACACCACTACGAACAGATCTCCTACTGCAATTGCACTTCGTGCGGAATCAAAGAAAAGAAACCCGCAATGTCAAGGAATCACACGAAAAGTAATCTGTTAGGCAGACGAATTATGTAGAAAATTTTACTATGCAAACAAAAAAGTAGAGGGGAGGGTGTGAAGCACCCGGGGTGATACACCACTACGAACAGATCTCATACTGCAATTGCACTTCGTGCGGAATCAAAGAAAAGAAACCCGCAATGTCAAGGAATCACACGAAAAGTAATCTGTTAGGCAGACGAATTATGTAGAAAAATTTACTATGCAAGCAAAAAAACGGAATCAGGTCGTAAACAGCTCTTAATTTCGCGACATTAAGGGTAATTCTCCTGTTAGCCAGAGCAATGACAGGCACGCTTTCTTTACCTGCATTCGGCTCAGATCGGCTAGTCTCGATTCGGCTTGTTCTGGTTCGGTTCGGGATGAAATGTCAGAATCATGTCTGCAAGGACGAGCCAGCTGGCAAGTAACCACTGATATGCACACATAGCCCAAACCGAAAAGTCTTCACTCTCGCCTCGCCTCCCCGCCAAAGCCATGTCGAGCTGCACACAATTTGCAAAATTTCCTCCTCGGAAATGTGAGTGCAACAGAAACTGTACTTCTAAATCCCCCCCCCCCCCCCCACCGACCACCCACAAATTGTGATTCCTGCGCCATTTCTTCTTTCCCAGTTCCCCCTCTCACCACTCCTCCTCTCCTCCCTCCCGCTCCCTCTCCTTCCGTCCGCCCCTACCAGTTTTTCTTTCTCCCTCCCATTGGGTGCTTTTGTTTGCATTCGATCCCCATCACACAGCATGGAATGCAAGAGCGACTTCACTCAGCCCATAGCACGGACTTACTTACACACTACAGAGGGTCGTCGTCACAGGTCGCTCATGGTCTGCCTGGCCAGCAGGCACTTTGAGGTGCAGTCTGAAAGCGAAGATAATGTTGCAAGATCCAGCACAGCAGGGAAAAACCTTCCCGAGATATTCTTTCCTCGAGCAAGTATCTGAGATAGGGTCCCCTCCTCGATTTGGGCTTGACTTGTGTCTCATGCTTCACAGTTGCACATGTGAATGACGAGGTCTCCTCCTCCCCCAGTTAGTTCTTGATTCTGCGTTCGTTTCACTCATTCCTGCGACTAGACTTGCCAGTACTACTAGTGAGATAGCTGTCTGGTTCGGAAGTTCAACTCGCAATGCTCATGTCTCCCCAGTCCCTGTGTCCTTTCGAAGGAACGGCTTCCGGCGGCGCAATGAAGTCTCCAAGTAAATCTCCTCCTACTTCTCAACTAACCGGAGACAGCTCTACGACGACGTCGCCAGAGTCGCAGCCTCTCGCGCGCCGTCGCTCACTGAAACTCGCGAGCCTGCGACTGCACATCCCAGTGCACCACTCGTCGCCAGCAGCTCTCGAAAACCCCCCTCCGGATTCTTCCGCTCTGGGAGTAGAAGTACAACTGCCACGCGAGGGCCCCCCTCGACGCGAGAGGCCCCCTCGACCTGATCTCCCGGCGTTCGCCGCGGCGGAATCGATCGTAACGCTCAACTCGAAGCCGCTCGCCCCCACGACTTCTGCTGTCACCACGACATCGAGTTCCTGCTGCAGTTATTCCCCGGATTCCAACAGTAGCAGCGGCAGTAGCAGCAGTAGCGGCAGCAGTAGCGGCAGCAGCGGCAGCAGTAGCGGCAGCAGCGGCAGTAGCGGCAATAGCGGTTCGGTACTTCGCGCGTTTCCAGCCGCGTTCCCTCTCTCCCCGGCTACGCCCGCCACGTCAGCTTCTGCCGGGCCGCTCGTATCGCCGCCGACGTGTCATGCTGCTCACGGCAAATGCCGCGGCTCCGCTAGAACGGTGCGCCCTGGTTGCGAAGCTACTAGCTCCCGCGGAGACGGCGGACATTCCCCTTCCGCTCAGACTTCTCCCTCCCCATCCGCCTCCCCCTCGGGCTGGCGCCCGCCGACCCCCGCGGTCGTGCGCAGCCCCAATGCGGAGGTCGTTGCGGAGCGATCGCGCGATTCCCCCGACATGGACCGCGTGTGGGTGAGGCTGGCGGAGCAGTTAGAGCGCGCGGAAGCCGGGAGGAAGGCGCGAGCGCACGCGTCCGGCGCTGGCTCCCCGCCACGGGGTCTTGAGCGCCGATCAGCAGCGCCCGCGGTGGTGCTCCGCCGAGCATTCTCCGCAACTTCCGCAGCCCTTCAGATGCCCGCTTCGCCTGCGGGCGCGCGCGCACGTGGCGCAGCTCCGCCGCCCGCTCGCCGTTCCGCCACCCTCGAGTCCCTCCCCTGGTCGTCGAGGGTTTCCCCTGCAGGGTTCGGCGAGGCTGCACCTGCGCCAAAAGCCAGTGCACCCGCAAATGCCCCCGCCCAAGAGAACACCTCCCCTTGCGCCTCCCCTTCCGCCTCCCCGTGCGACTCCCCCAAGTCTCCGTCGAATACGATTGGCCGACGGCTGAACGAGTGGTGGTACGGGCGGCGGCGCTTTCAGGTTGCGGAGTCCGCAGCGCAGATAGACGGCGCACCCGCCAACGGCGCGTATTGCCGCACTACGGGCTGCGGCTGCGGGCCGGCAGGAGCGGTTCAGCTTCGCGCGTGGTGTTGCGAGGAGGAAAGACGGATTTCAGAGGATACCGATCACTTGCGCAGCGGCGGTACTAGCTGCGGCGACGGAGTTTCAGACGCGGACGTTGTTGCAAGACGCGCTTCTGCCTGCACGTCTCGGCCAGCTTGCGCGCACTACGCGGCGGCGACACAGCTGTTCAGCCGGAGGACACACGGGGATTTCGCGCTCAAGCCTCCGCTCTCTCCGCAGAGTGTCGGAAAATGCGGCGCTGGGGTTATTGGCGGGGGGAGAAAATCCTGCCTGCCAAAGTCCCCTCCCAGCTGTCTGGCGAAAGCAGCTGCCGAAAAGACCTGCAGTGGCGAAAACGGAAACACCGCAGGCGTGAGTGTTACAAGTGGGATGCAAAGTTCGCGTGTGGCTAACCACCGTAGCAGTGACGAAACAGACACCACAACTGCACGTCTGGCGTTACGAAAGCACAGCACCTTGAGTCCTGTGTGTTCTCCCCAAGGCTCCCTCCCTCGATATAAGCTTGCCAGCTGCCTCTCTACAGGCAGTTCCCTCTCTGCTGTAATGCCCCCAACTGGATCTGGGGAAACAATAAAGCCAGGGCATGCGAGGCGTGTGTCATTCTGCAAGGTCGTTCGTGTCCGCTTGATCCTGGACTCGGATGAAATGGACGGGGAGGATTCAGCTGAGACACATGTGCAGCATCCTGTGAGTCAGGGTGGCAGTAGCGTTGCTAAATCCCTCACATCCTCCCTAATTTCAAATTGACCAGTCTGCCGTTGTGTATTCTGATGTACTCCCAATTTTAGCTGAAGTGACTAATGGTGATTCTTTTCCCAGCACTTAGGGCGCATGCCTACAAGTGACCCGCTGGGGGTTACCCTTGAGAAGATCCTCGGGGGAGGGCCACAGGTGCAGAGCCTGGGGGGCTATGGGCGCACTGATCCGCTATTAGCAAGCCCTTCTAAACTCAGTGGTTAGTGGCTGAGTTTTGACATGCTATCAGAGCGTTGGTGTCTCAGGTTCAATTCCCAGTGCTAGCGCTACAAAGGCGCTCGTGACTTCCACCTATCCCAGCGGGGGGGGGGTGTCGAGTGACCCGCTGGGGGTTACCCTTGAGAAGATCCTCGGGGAAGGGCCACAGGTGCAGAGCCTGGGGGACGATGGGTGTAAAACATATTTGTATATGTTATAATAGGCTAGATATGTGAATGCTCTTACAGGGTACAAACATTTGAACAAAACCAACCTGTATGCCTCATTCTAGTCAACTTTTCTATTCTGAGATGGTATCACGTGCTATGTTAGGTCCGCCCCGCCCACCCACGCTTCCGCTCTCGACCTAGCCCTAGCCGCCCGGTCCTAGCCGCCCCTTAGTGTCAACTTATACATACATTTACATGTAGAAGTTATAGGCTAGAATAGGTGTGTTCTTAGAGAGTACAAACCAAACCCTATCTTCCTTGTTCCCTCCTCCTTCTAATCATTGCGTTATTCTAACATGGTATTACGCTAGGTCAGGTCCCCCTCCCCGCCTACGTTTCCGCCCCTAGCCTTAGCCCTAGCCTAAGACCGTGCCCTAGCCCGCGCCCCATCACGCCGCGCGGGCCCCGTCCCGCCGCGCCAGCCCCGCTAGACCACGCCGGCCCCGTCTCGCCGTGCCGGCCCCGCTAGAACGCGCCGGCCCCATCACGCCGCGCCGGCCCCGTCACGCCGCGCCAGCCTCGTCACACCGCGCCGGCCCCGTTACGCCGTGCCGCCCCGTCCCGCCGCGCCGGCACCGCTACGCCGCGCCGGCACCGCTACGCCGCGCCGGCTCCGTCACGTCGCGCCGGCCCCGTCCCGCCGCGCCGGCCCTGCTCGACCGCGTCGGCCCCTCTCAACCGCGCCGGCCCCGTCTCGCCCAGCCGGCCCCGTCACGCGGCGCCGCGCCACCGCGCCGTGCCGCCGCGTCACGCCGCGCTGCGCCTTGCCGCCGAGCCGCGCCGCGCTGCACCGCTGCGCCGCCGAGTTGCCGAGTAGCCGCGCTGCCGCGTCGTCGTGCCGCCGTGCCACCGAGTCGCCGAGTAGCAGAGCCGCCGCGTTGCCGAGTTGCCAAGTCGCCGAGCCGCCGTGCTGCTGTGCCACCCCGACCTGCCGACCTTGGTTCCCCCTTCTGTGCCGGCTCTCCAGCCGGCCGTCTCCACCGCTGCTCTCCACCGCCCTCTCTTCCCCCTCCCCTAGCGGCGGTCAGCTGCTGCAGTCGTGGCGATAGTGGACGCTGTGCTCCGCCTGGACGTGGAGGGTCGGGCGATCGACTTTGAGGCGTGGCTCGCCGACCTCCGCCGCTCGTTGAGGGGATAGCGCCAGGATGGCCAGTCTCTGGCCGTTCACGTCGACGGTAAGATCCCCAGCCCCGACCCGCCTGCTGCCCTCTCTGACGCCCCAACACCCGCTGAGCGTGAGGCCTTTGCACCTGCTGAACTCGCTCGCTCTGTCTGGGGGTCGCGTGACGCAGTTGCGCAGATTGTTATCAGTCGCGCCCTCCCCCTGTCTGAGCGCCCCCGCTATCAGGCCCTAGAGACTGTGCAGGCGTACTTAGATGCTGTTATTGCTCGCTATTCTACTCCCTCCTCCGCTTCTGCCGGTCATGTCCTCCTCCTCCTGCTCTTCCCTGACCTTACGTATTTTCCCATTGTCGCTGATCTCGCCACTCACTTGCGCGCACTAGAGACTAGCTACCGCGCTGCTAGCACTGAGGCTAAGCTTTTTGTACTGCCTCCCCCCCTCGGCGCTACCCTTTACTTCCTTGCCACGCGCCTTCCTGACCGCCTAGCCACTGCCCGCGACCACTTCCTTACCCTCCACCCTGCTGACCTCACCCTCACTGACTTTGTCACTACTCTGACCGCGATAGAGACTCGCCAGCACACTATCGCTCAGTCGAGCAGGGCTGCGGTGGTCTCTATCTTCCAGGGCTGACGCCTTTGCCGCTGTTGCTGAGACGGCCCCTGCTGCTGAGACCGCTATGGCGGCCTCAGCGCAGTCGCATCAGGGTAGGGGACGCCGAGCCCGGGGGGGGGCGTAGCAACGGGAGGGGTGGCGGGGGTGGCGAGGGGGGCGGAGGTGGCGGGGGTGGTGGAGGGGACGGTGGTGCAGACGAGGGGACCAGTGCTGGTGCCTCGGAGAAGCAGCCTCATCATCATCATCAGCAGCAGCAGCAGCAGCAGCCGCAGCAGCCTCAGCAGCAGCAATAGTCGCCGTGGGCGCCCCCGCCGCCGTGATGGCCGAGCGGTTCTGGTGGTGGTGGGGGGCGCAGCTCAGTGTCGGGTGGCGGCTCCAGTATGGTCACCAGCCAGTACCAGCTTCAGTCCAGCCCCCGCCGCGGAACCGTCTGTAACCGCCCCGGTCACACCACCGCACGCTGCTACCGCCGCCTCGACGACCTCTTCCGTCTCCGCTTCGGCCCCACGACGGACCCCCCCGACTGGTACAGCCTGGTGCGTCGTCGTGTGCCTGTCTCTGAAATGGACATGCATAGGATTAGGTCTGCTTTGTATGCCATGTATGCTCATAACTCTAGTGTGACTGGACCCCATTGCCCGGTGTTTCCTAGCGTAGGTGTGTCCGCTGTGTGTAGTCTAGGTTCCCTTGCTGCGTCAGGTGTAGGACCCTTTGCCTTGTTTAGCCTAGGCTCCATGCTAGCCCCTCCGCTGGCGGACGCTACTGCTTCGCTTTCCTTCACGCTTGACTCTTGAGCGTCTGCCTGCTTCTTCCGCAACCACACTTCGCTCACGCCTCTTGCCGCCCCTGCTCCCGTCGCCTCCTCCGTCCTCGCTTGTTGTCGCTCCGCCTCCTCTGTTTGACTTCCTTCGTGCCGCTAGTCCTCTCTTTCCTCGAGTCCTTGCCTCCCTCGTTACCGACCCATCTGTTCCCGTCTCCAGTCTTGACGCTCTTGTCGCTGCTGTCGCTGACTTTGCCTCTACCCGCCGCCTTGACTACGCCTCCGCTCTGGTCTCTGACCTTGTCTGTCCTCCGTTCGATGGGGATGCGTCTGCCCTTGGCAGTGACGTCCTAGAGGACATGCAGTTTGAGCTTGCTTTCCTGTCCGAGGCTGCTCCCCATCTTTGCTCCATGGTGCTAGTCCCTGAGGGTGAACCTGCCGCCTTTGACATCCCGACCCCTCGCACTTACGCTGAGGCAACCTCGGGACCCTAGGCCTCTCAGTGGATAGCTGCCATAGAGCAGGAGATCGCATCTTGGAGATCCACTGGCACCTACGTCGACGCAGCTCCCCCACCTGGGGTGAACGTAATCGATGGACAGTGGCTCTTCAAGGTGAAGCGCCCCCTTGGAGAGCCGCCTCTATTCAAGGCGCGCTACGTGGCTAGAGACTTCAGTCAGCGTGAGGGGGTGGACTTCTTTCAGACCTTCGCCCCGACCTCGAAGATGACTACTCTTCGGGCACTGCTACACGTAGCAGCACAGCGTGACTACAAGTTACACTCCATCGACTTCTCCTCTGCGTTTCTTCAGGGCAGCTTATACGAGCACGTCTACCTGCGCCGTCCTCAGGGTTTTACTGGTACCTTCCCTCCTGGGACCCAGGGGCTCCTTTGGCGCCCAGTCTACGGCCTGCTTGAAGCGCCCCGTGAGTGGCACAATACGCTGCGTGCTACGCTAGCTGACCTGCAATTCTTTCCGTCCTCTGCACACCCCTCGCTCTCCGTTTGTGCTGGCCAGACTCCGTTCTACATCCTTGTCTACGTAGATGACCTGGTCTTCGCTACTGCAGACAAAGACGCGCTGGCCTCCGTGAAGGCCGAGCTGCCGAAGAGACACACCTGCACTGACCTAGGAGAGCTGCGCCGCTACCTTGGCCTGCAGATCTCCAGGGACAGAGGAGCGCACACCATCACTCTCACTCAGTCACACTTCGTGCGCCAGGTCCTTCAGAGGTCCGGTCTTCAGAGCCCATACCTCTGCCAGTAGATTACAGGCTCTCAGCTCTAGTTCATGAGGAGTTAGTAGAGCCCAGTGGTCCTTACGCCCAGTGGTCCTTGCCTCATGTACCTGATGACTTGCACTCGTCTAGATCTCGCATACCCTCTCAGCATCCTCGCTCACTTTGTGGCCACAGGCAGACACCGACCACAGCACTGGTCGGCCGCTAAGAGGGTTTTGCATTATCTAGCAAGTACATCGGGCATGGGGTTAGTGCTGGGAGGACGCAGACCAGTGGTCCTTACTAGGCACACAGATGCTTCTTGGGCAGACAATGCTGAGAACTTCAGGTCCTCCCAGGGCTACTGCTTTAGCCTTGGTTCGGGTACCATCTCTTGGAGGTCCACTCGCTCCTCGTCTGTTGCCGAGTCTAGCTGTGAGGCTGAGATCTACGCCGGTGCCATGGAGGCACAGGAGCTCCGCTGGCTGACGTTCTTACTCACCGAATTAGGTGAGCGGCCTAGTTCTGCCTCGGGCTTGTACGCTGACAACAGGGCCATGATCCTGCAGTGTCAGGAGCCTCGACTTGAGGGCAGAGCGAAGCACATCCAGCTGTGGTACTTCCTCCTGCGCGAGGTACAGCAGCGTCGCCAGGCCCGCGTAGTACACTTGGCCTCTGGTGCCAACACAGCTACTAAGGCGCTTGCGCGTAAAGATCATCAGCGGCACTATTTGCAGCTTGGTCTAGTTCCTGTAGACTCTCACTTGCTAGGATCTTGATTGTGTACTCCTCTTTATATATATCTATCAGACTGGCCTTGTGGCTTCTCTTCTAGTGGCCGGAGTACTAGTGCCGCCCTGGTTTGCTCTTGT